ATTTAAAAGGCCGTTCGAAAATGTTTCAAATGAAACAACTTTACGTAATATAATGAGGAGAACCTTTTACAAATACAAATAAGTAGTAACAGCTCTTCATGCCATTATTACCGATTAATACTAGTTCTGTTTGGAATAAATCTGATATTTTATAATATTAATATGATTTTTAGTTTCGATTAGATTGCAATTGAGCACAAGTAGGACAATGAAAAGAGCGAAATATGATAAAAATCCTATCCACACCTTATCTGGTAACAGGATATCGCAGCTATTGGTAGTCGATCGAATAGGCTGTCCTCATTAATTTTATTTTAATGAAAATAAATGAAAAGATTTTAAATTGAATGCCTTTCGTCAAGCTCATATTCTTACTAAATAATTTAAATGACTGATTTTTAACGGTTATACTACCACTACTGTCTTACTGTGTATTCATAAAATTAAAAAAAAATTGTACAATTAGGGAAAAAATATCCATTACATTGATGCATTTTATAGGTTTATCGGATAGTTTACTATTTTCTGTCATAACGTTTTTATATTGATTATAAGAAAAGTTTTAGTTAAAAAGGACGGTGAAAATGGAAAGGAATCTGGAGACAAATGTTGAAAATCTAATCATAAATTCCAAACTATCTTTCGAATCAATTAGAAAAATAATACCTAACTTGCTTGTTATAGAGTGTGGTTAAGAGTTGTAAAGATATGTCTAGCATTATGTAGCTTACAAAGGAAAAAGAAAATGGAGAAAACTGTGAGGATAGACCTCTATTGCAAGCTAATAGTTACGACAAACTATTCATATAATATCACATTTCTATAAATGTATGATTTATTTTTAGACTGATAAAATCCGTCCGATAATAATCATTAAATTAAATACATATTTTTTTACTTCTAAAGAAATCATGATATATTTCAAAATTTTGAATGTAGATTAAATACAACATTAACGTTAATGCATGAATTAAGTATATAATATTAATGTGTTATTAATGACTTTTAAAATATTTGTATTTTGATGGTGTAGAATTAAATGTTTGAGAAAATAGTATTGAGTTTTTCAAATTATTTCACCGAGGTTATGCAAAACGATCTGGTTATATGAGTACTTATAGCGAAATACTCTACACAGGTGAGCACATGAACCTCTAGATTACTAGATGTATTGAGCAATACTAAATGTTTATACTTAATTGCTACTATTTTGTACCCAATATCAATGTCTAGAAGGCCTTAAGATGTCATGTACGGTTTTTTCGCATCACATTTGAAAAAAAAGGATATAGCTCTAGCTCCATTACCTAAATTTAGAGTTGGCTCGTTAAGGCTCCGCAATCTTTGGCACAGTGGTAGAGCTCCACACATTTCCAGATTCGAAGAGATGACTAGCTTTCAGAAGTAGACTCCTACCGATAAAAGTCCTGTACACTCTCTGGTATTTATGAGGATTTCGCCCCAAGAAAAGGAGATCTAATAAATAGATGACGACGCAACATCAAAGAAAAGGGAATATTGCAAAACAACAAGACCTGAAAACCTACTGTTTGTATTTTTGGTTAAATGTTGGTACTACTTAGATAAATAATAATGGACTTAGGTAGTAGTAAGTTGTGCAAACAATGTGGATCAATGTCCTCTCTAGTTTCGATGTACCCGCATACCCGATGTAGCCGATGTACCCGCATTCGTAGTACATACGAGTATATACAGTAATCTTTGCGCTGACATTTAACTTGAGCTTACTGCTTAGCAAATTTTTTTATACGCATGACTAGGTCATTGTAGAAGCGTGCTCGTCGCGACCCCTGCCAGCTCAGGGCTGCAATTCTACACAGCTGCGCACCCATGCCAACGAGGGTTAGGGCGTCCCCCCAAAGCGACGCACACCAGCTCGTCCCCGTTGGTGTGGAATGAAGCGCGCAAAGCGGCGATGGGGACCGCCACCCGTCACGCACAGCACGACACGGCGGAAGGTGGAGGAAGAGGAGACAAATATCATGCGAGGGTAGCCGAAAAACTTGACACCATCGATGGCAGAAAAGAATGTGTGGAATGAACATGGCAGAACCTTAGGGATGGAATGGTAAGTGCAGCGGAAGAAGTGTGTGGAACGATAAAAAGAGGTAGTGGTAAAGAAGAGATGCATGATGGAATGATGAAGTGAAAGAAGCTGTAAAGAAGAAGAAGAAAGCATGGTTAGACTACTTGGCCTCTAGTAATGATAAGGATATGAGAGAGAAGATGAATAAAAAAAAGATATAAGCTGCAGAAAGTTCACACGAAAGCATTGATTGAGGAAGTGCGTGAAAGGTGTAGAATGGAAGCGGACGAAAGCTTGTCACACAACTTTAATGAGAATTCCAAACTCTTCTGGAAAGAGGTTGGAAGCACCCGAAGTGGTGCGACGGCCTTAAGAATGAACAAAGTGCTTACGAGAACTAATGATGTCCTCTCAGAAAAATCGGACGTCATGCAGCGATGGAGCGAATTTTATAGAGAAATGTATGCGTGTGATGATCTTAGTGAGGGATCCGGTGGTGACGCCGTGACTGGTACGCCAGACCCGGACCTCGATGACACTGAGGTCATCAGTATGAAAGAGATTGATCGTGCGCTTCAAAGTTTGAAATGTGGTAAGGCTGCAGGACTAAACAGAGTTACTACTGAAATGGTCAAGTATGGTGGGCCCCGCGTCAGGGACAGCTTTCATCTGCTGTGCAATTTGTGCTGGCGGCCGGGCATGTCCCGGATGATTGGCGATCCACAGTCATTGTGCGTTTATATAAAGGTAAAGGTTCACATTTTGACTGCGGGTGCTATCGGGCGATCAGCTTGACCAGCTTAGCAAGTAAAGTTTACTCGAAGGTTTTGACACGTAGGATGCAAGAGAAATCGGAAAGATTTCTATGGGAGGCACAATGCGGATTTAGACCTGGAAGAGGATGCACGGATCAAATGTTTTCTCTCCGCATGATCACGGAGAAACTTCTGGCTGCTAACCAGAAGATTTTCTGTGCTTTTGTGGATCTTGAGAAAGCATTTGATAAGGTTGTAAGGAAGAAAATGTGGGAACTGTTGCCGGGGTATGGTGTGGATGGTCGATTGCTAAGGGCTGTGCAGTCACTTTACTGTGACTGTAAAGCCTGTGTGCGGGTAGGGCATAACTTGTCACCCATGTTTAGCGTCCAAACGGGCGTAAAACAGGGTTGTGTCATGTCTTTCTGGCTGTTCATACTGTATCTCGACAGCTGTTTACAGCTGAAAGATAGCTGTTTGGGTGTGAAATTGGGTGACAATAAAGTAAATTGTCTGCTGTATGCTGATGATGCAGTGCTTATTGCACCATCAGAGGCAGAACTGCAGGCATTAGTCACGTGTATGAAAGAGGAATGTGAAATTAAAGGTCTCCGTTTGAATGCTAATAAAACTAAGGTTCTGGTATTTGAAAGGGACGAAGAGAAAATGAAGTGTGAAATATGGGTAAATCAGGAATGTCTAGAACAGGTAAAGGTAAATGACATTGTATACTTGGGCAGTGCGTTTAGCAGGGATGGAAGATGTGATTTAGATGTGGACAGGCGTGTCGCTGCCGCGAACAAAATCAATGGTGCCCTGACTGTGTAGTGAAGAGTGCACGCCTTGCAATACATAAAGCAGTGTTGGTACCGACTTTGTTATATGGCAGCGAAACCTGGGTATGCCAGAAGAAGCATAAAAGCAAGTTGAATGCAGTGGAGATGCGATCTCTTCGTAAAATGTGCGGCGTTACTATGGCCGACCGAAAGCGAAACGAAGAGATTCGCAATATGGCAGGTTTGAAAGATGACCTTATCACAAAAATTAATAAGGGCCATACTTCGATGGTTTGGGCACGTTGAGTGAATGAGTGAAGACCGAATGGTGAAGAAAATATATAGCGCGAAAGTAAATATTAAAAGGTGTCGAGGTAGACCGAGACTAACTTTCGAAGACCATGTGAGCAAATTGCTCGAAGAGGGGAGGGTCAAGAGTACTCGGATACCTAGACGTGCATGTATGAAGAAGATAATGAATCTAAAAGAAGCGAAAGAGGTATGTAAGGATCATGACACTTGGCGATCTGTTCTCTCTGGCTACCCCGTCAGGGATTGTGCGTGAAGATATGTATGACTAGAAGAAACTGCTTTGTTCTGGACATATAATCTGTCTATTATTTTTTTGATTCCGCTGTTATATACCTCAAACGCGAAACCAATAGGTTAGGCTTTATTGCAAACTTTTCAGGGTCAGAATAACTCCGTGGAATAAATAGTAAGAGGAAATACTAGTAAGCCACTAAAAAGTTTTGCAATACGTATAATTATGAAAAAGTTTTATTATTCTTTTAAATACAAACCCGTTTTAAAAACCAGTATTATCGATCAAACTTATTTGTGTAAAGGTAACAAATATTAAGATTCACTCAAGTGGTACTTGACTCCAAGACGTAAGTTTTGAGCAAATTTCAGTAGTATTTCAGGAGTAGCCATAAACTTAAGTTGAAATATATTAATATTGACACACCGTTATTGAAGTTTTCGAAAGTACAGATAAATAAGGCTTCTACTTTTATTTGAAATTATCCCAAATTGAATGTGATCTATGGGCAACAACGTTTTTGCCTCCCGATCGACCCTTACGAATGTGTGCGTGCGCAGTATATCAGTTAAAACAATGCATTACTACGCATTTTGAATTTGAAAGATAAAAAGGACAGAATTATTGAGATTTGTTAAAATAAATATTTCTTCACCATTTGCCTATATTACTTATTCTCAAACTTCTCTGCAAATTTGGTCGGTTATTGCAAAATAACCCTATATAGGTATTATTATATAAGATATATCTAAAGGTAAAGGACGAAAGAAAACAAAGTATTTGAAAAAATACTATATTTTTTCTATAATAACTAAACTAATGTAAACAAAAGCAATACTAGAAACTAAATAAAAAGCGAGGTTGCAGGCATCAGACTGTCAGACGCCGAGCAGCAGCGCTACCCCGGCGAGCGTCCAGCGCGTCGGCTTGTACTTGGTCTTTAGGTTGAAAGTCCACACGTACGTCGGCCCGCGCATGCTGAAAGTTATATATTTTAGCAAAAGCCTACGTACGTCTGCAGGGCCCAGGCCCCTCTCATAACTGACACTTTAGGAGCACCAAAAAACCGTTTTTCCTTGTGAGTTGGTGGATTTCATGTCCATGACTTACTTACTTAAATACAATGAGGAGCGTTTTGACTCCTTAGTTAAACATCAACGTGAGTGTCAGCATTCAATACCGGCTTCTTCAGAGTCGGTGTATGCTGATAATATTATACCACCACTAAAACTCTATGACAGTGCCATAGCAGAGGAGCTTAAAATAAAAAAATAACTCAAATATCAACAAAAATAATACAATTGTGTATAGCGATGACATAGGAAAAAATCGAGGCATAACTTTAAATTACTCTTTAAATGGACAAAAAATCACAAATTGCTGCATGCCTAGAGCATCTTTAAGTGACATCCTAAATAAAATTATAGTTACTAAATTTTGCCCAAATAGTACAATAATAATTTTAGTTGGTAGAAGAGGCAGTGTAAACAACAAACAGTTATTAAGATATATTGAGCTACTTAATAACTTAAATGTACACAAAATTGTCTTGTTCACACTGGCTTACATACATGGATTGCCACAGGAAAATAATCTAAGACATAATTTACGTTTAAACTTACGTTTAAAGATTACATCAAGAAAACTATTACGAAATAGAGCAGTTGAAGTTAAATTCACATACATTCATATATTCTCTCATCTATTTCTTCTATATGTATTTTTGAGGCTACTAATATAAATATAAGTACTTAAGTTATTTTATTTAATATATATTATAATTAATTATTTGTATTATGTTTATATATTTAAACATTTAATATGTATATATACATAAGTAAATATATATGTATGTATATATATATATATTTATATATATATATAAAGGTAATCTAATATATCATTCTACCTGACTATCTCTCCTGATCTGTAAACTTATGACCACCTTCATTACATTGAATTACTTATAATTTTGCTTATAATTTATCTATTAGATTGTTCTTTTTCCTTTTCTTCTAACAACAATACACCTACCATCAAACAATATAAGGGAAACCTGTTATTGGCCATACTTTTAGTTTGTTACATTAATGTTAATATTTTCTATATACGCTGTTGGTTTTCTAAATAAATAAATAAATAAATAAATAAATAAATAAATTTAAATATGCAAATGAATAATTTAATATGTAACAATAATTTAAATTTGACATATAATTGTAATGATAATAATGAGAAATTTCATTTAGTTGATATAAATAATTTAATAAAAAAGTTTTGGACAAAAGATAGGTATTAGCTATCCAAATATAATTTAAGACTGATAGCAAATGTGCTATCTTATTATTTACTTTTTAACTCAGCCAAGTTTTTGGCTACCAAGACTGCTTTTATTGGGCAGGATAATTATTTGACAATTAATTTGGAATCAGTTCCAACTAATTTAAATTAGTAAATGCGACAATAGAGGCAATCTCTAGCAATATATAGAGGCAAAAAGAATTTAATTAACTTTGAATGCAGCCCACAAATAAGTAATAAAAATTGTTTACACCTGGTGCATCAAAATATACAAGGCATGATGGGCAAAGAATTAGAAATTGAATTGTTTTTAAATAGTAACAACATACATATCCTGGCCTGGCTGTTGGACTGGACTGGCCTGTTGGTCTAGTGGTTAGTGACCCTGACTGCTACGCCAGAGGTCGTCGGTTCGATTCCCACCCAGGACAAATGTTTGTGTGATGAGCACGATCATTTGTTCTGTGTCTGGGTGTAATTTATCTATAATATGTATGTACTTAGAAATATATAAGTATGTTTATCAGTTGTCTAGTACCCATAACACAAGCTCTGCTTAGCTTGGGACTAGATGGCGTTGTTTGATAGTTGTGGAATATTATTATTATTATATCCTTTGTATTACTGAACATTGGCTAAAAGATTATAATTTTAAATGTTTAATTTCAGAAATCACCAGGTGGTCAGTTCTTTCAATAGAGAAAAATGTTTACGTGGTTGCTCCTTAATACTAGCAGATAAATCATTATTATATAAAGAACGTAAGGATATAGTGAGCCTCTCTGTTGAGCGAACTGTAGAAATGGCTTGTGTCGAGCTCGAGCACCTCATTGTTGTAAGTGTTTACAGATCCCCATGTGCTACTTATGACTATTTTGAAAGGATTGTGGAAGAAGTTTTGCTCAAACTTAGTAAACAGAACAAGTCTGTCGTAATATGTGGAGACTTTAACATCAATCTCCTTGAAACTGCTTCCATTAGCATTAAGTTTAGCTCATTGTTTAAATCGTATAATCTTGTTAATTTATTCTTAGAACCAACACGTATTGCTGGGCCTAGTGCGACCTGTATAGATAATACTTTTACAGATGTTAAGCCCTTGCATAAATCAATTATTCATAATTTAAGTTCAGATTACTGTGGACAGTTGGTGGAAAAATAAGAAAGTTGTGTTTGTTCCAATAAATGAAAATCGCTTGGAGAGGTTTAGAAGTAATATAATAAAAACAATTTAAAAATAGTGCTAATTATTTGTATGGTACGTTTTTTAAAATTATAACTTGTGAATTTAGTAGGATATTTACTTCTAAAACTTTCTCTTTTAACAGTCGCAAATTATTTAATGAATGGGCGACAGTAGGAATTTATAAGAGTAGGCGAAAGTTATATGAGCTTTATAATGAAAGATCATATAATAGTAGTGTTATATTTAGAGATTATGTAAAAACATATTCTAAAATATTTAAAAAAGTGTGCGCCACAGCTAAGGCTTTACATTTAAGTAACAAAATTAAAACTGTATCTAACAAATTAAAATGACCTGGAGAATAATAAATAGTGAAACGGGCAAGGTCAAACCGCGCAACTCGGATTTTCAATTGAATATTAACAATAATTTAACTCGATCTGATCAAGAAGTTGCTATGGCATTTGAGAAATATTTTACTGATGTTCCTTTTTTTACAACTAAATCATTAAACTCTTCTCCCACTGTCACCGAATCATTGCTCAAACAAAATGTAAAGGCTTGTTGAAATACTTTTAAATTCCATAGAGTACTGCCAAAAGATATCGTTAAATATTTTAAAACTATTGATGTTAAGAAAACGGCAGATTTATGGGGGATTTCCGTTAAAGTTATTTTATCTATAATAGATATAATAGCACCATATCTAGCCACTATATTTAATACAAGCGTCGAATCTGGTGTGTTTCCTGATTTAATGAAACATAGTAAAGTCATACCTTTATTTAAATCTAGTAGTACATTAGACCCCGCCAATTTTAGACCAATTTCTGTACTACCAACATTTAGTAAAAACTTTGAAAAAAATAATTTTCGATCAGATGTTAGGTTTCTTTAATATTAATAAATTGCTACATAGAAATCAATTCGGTTTAACAAGGGGTCGCTCGACAACTGACGCTGGAGTTGAGCTTATTAAACATATTTCTTGTACATGGGAGAATTCACAGGATGCTTTGGGTATATTTTGTCACCTTTCCAAGGCCTTCGACTGCGTTCACCATGAGACATTATTCAGGAAGCTACAGTACTATGGTGTCAAGAACACAGCGCTTAAACTTATTATTTCATATTTAAGTAATAGAATGCAGAAAGTTATTATCAATGGTAAAAGTTCTTCTAGCTCACCTGTACTAATGGGTGTCCCTCAGGGCTCGATTCTCGGCCCATTCCTATTTCTAGTGTATATTAATGACTTACCTTCTCTTGTAGAGGATAATCATGATATAGTATTATTTGCTGATGATACTTCCTTGATTTTTAAACTTAAACGTCAATCATTTAAATGTGACGAGGTGAATAATGCTACATCAAAATTAGTGCATTGGTATAACGTTAATAATCTACATTTAAACGGAAATAAAACTAAATGTATTAACGTACAACAACGAATGTTAAAAATCTGAGTACCAATGTGTTTTTAAATGGGGAAGAACTGAGCCCTGTTGAATCCACTGTTTTTCTTGGCATCACTCTCGACGCAAAGCTTCAGTGGGGCCCCCATATATCCAAACTAGCAAGCAGACTAAGTTCTGCAGCCTATGCTGTAAAAAAGATTAGAGGTCTCACTAGTGTCGAGACAGCTAGATTAGTTTATTTTAGTTATTTTCATAGCATAATGTCTTATGGGATTTTGCTATGGGGAAATGCGGCTGATTCAGAAACTATTTTTGTTTTACAGAAGAGGGCCATTAGAGCTATTTACAATCTAAAACCGAGAGAGTCTCTTAGAGATAAATTTTAAGAAATTAATATATTAACTTTGGCCTCTCAGTATATTTACGAAAATTTAATGTATGTTCACAAAAACAAAGATAGTTTTAGTAAAAGAAGTGATATACATTCTGTAAACACTAGGAACAAACACAAGCTAGTGATACCAGTTTCTCGACTCCACAGAGTCAGTAATTCATTCTTGGGGCAATGTATACGCTATTACAACAAGGTCCCGGAAAGTGTACAGGCTCTCTCTATTAGCAAGTTTAAATGTCTTGTTAAGTTGAAACTGTATCAAAAGGGTTATTATAGTATAAATGAATACATGATTGATAATAACCCCTGGGAATGAGGTGATCGCTTCCAAGCTGTTTCTAAAATAAATTTTGTACTTATATAGTTTGTACAACCATTATTGTAAAATTTGATTTAAAAAAAAGTCCCGCTGGGTTTCTTGTTGGTTCTTCCCAGGACAGAGGTTTTTTTTCGAACCAGTGGTAAAGTAAAAAAATTGCTTTCAATAAGAATTACACATGTGATCTATATTGAATAAAAAATTATTCTATTCTATTCTATTCTAACCGGAATAAAATATGTTTGTGGCTTATATATTTTGTAGATTAATGCAAACGTGGTGGGGGATCTTTGTGGTATCTAGTGACAGAGGCATTTGTAATATTTGAAAATTTTTATACCAAAATCGTCCCGTCCCATCGACCTCGCTACGCATTTTTTATTGCATGGGAAAATCCTTATCAAACATAAAATTAAGGATACCGTCCACTGCGGAGGCAACGTAGAAGTTATGCTGGCCTTTTATCGGCTAAAGCATACGGTGGTTGCTATCAGACAAGGCAGGGTCCCGCAGTCTCGAGGTCCCGGGAAATCCATTCGGATTGCAACCACCTGGCGGCAGTACTTACTAACTATTAGCATAGTTTCAGTGCTGTAACGATGACTCGGGACTAGTTTCGAGCCATTATCTTATTCGGAGTCGCATTATCGAACGAGCCCCTCGGTATGGTGTTCTACCATCACAAAGAAATATAGAAGTATGTAAGTAAACATACGTGGTAGAGCCATGCTGTAAAAATATTATAGTCGTAGCGCCACTGGGCATGGGTAGCAGCTTAATACTGCTGTGTTACAAATAACAGCTAAATGCTGCTCTGTTTCGTTTGGTGAGTGTAGAGAATCGAATACCCTTTTTACTGGAAACGAGGCATTCAATCTTAGTACTCAAAGATGGTAACGCATCTGCTTTTCTTGATTTTTAATCGACGATAGATGTCTATAAGCTACACCATCCACTTACTATCAAGTGGACTGTGTCCTCGTTTGTCATCCTTATTCTATAAAGAAAGAAAGAAAGCCGCGACGAATGTCTTGTTTGCATCCGGAATCCACTTGACTACATGAATCTGGACTATTGTGGATTAACAGCCCTCCCCGTCGAGACAATTGCTGGCAGAGAGAGGCACCATCCGACAAAAGAACTGACACAACAGTTCGAGCACTTATTGAAAACCTTGCTTGCACTCACCGTATCTTGTAGACGGGACACTCGTACACGTTGCGCGTGTCCTGCTTGTCCTGCGTGACGGCGCGCACGTATATGACCGGCATGAGCGGGAAGAGCTCCATCATGCGCGCTTCCACGATGCCGCCCGACACCGTGTCCCAGCGCGCGCCCTCCATGAACAGCCCGTGGATGTTCGCGCCCTCGCGGGGCGGGGCGCTGCCGACACACATTGTCTTTTAAATTTTTTATAGAATTATTTTCACTGGCAGAGTTCGCAAACGAATCTGCCCAAGGTGCCACCCTATCTCTCAGAAAGAAGAGAAAGAAAGTAGTAGAAAATCCTCATGGATACCTTCCACTGCGGGACCAACAAAAAGGTCATGCCAGACTTCTACCTGCTAATATCCCACGGTGGTCACCATCAGCATATAGGTACGAACGGTTCCGGTATCTCCGTTTGGGACGCAACCGAGACCCTTCCATCGTTTTGCAGACTATTAAACGCACGTCCCGGGGGTAGCTCCTATTACCGTCGGCACACTCACAGTGCTATCACGATGTATATTTCTGCCACCTAACAGCAGAATTGTGTTCAGGGGTTAAGGGTACTCAACTTATGTAGTTAGATGCAGTGGGTACCAGTAGCCTTTGGACAGAGAAGAAACTTACCGTTATGTGGATATTTAGCTCATTTGTCGTTCTAATATTATAAAAATTATAAAGCAGTTTTTAATCTATGAAAAAATGTTTTACGCGGAACAAAATCACAGCTATTTATTTTACCTACTATAAGTCACAATGCCTGGTGGTAACTAATGATGTACGTAATCGTTGATAGCAAAGAGCACTAAAGCGAGACAATAGTCTATTCACACTTGTCTTAAAGAAACCTTCGTTCCTTGTACGAATGATTAAGGACGAAACAATGACTTTCCCTGTTTGTAAAAGATAGAAAATAAGTATTGAAAAGTAAATAATATAAATTAAAAGTTACATTAAATCTTTAGTTTTAGAAAGTAGAAAATAATGTTGCGAGATATTTTATTGAACAAAAATGTTTTTTTTTTAGTACAGTTAATTTTTTTCCTACGACTTGACGTTGTGAATTCTATTTTATTTGGAGTATTCTTGAAATTAACTATATCCAGAATTCCAGAATTGGTTTTAAAACATTTTTATAAAGGAAAAACAAATAGTAGGTACTTGAAGTCTTGACGCGACTTCTTGGTGACGTCGCAGTTGAGGCACATCTTATCGAGCGGCCACTCGTTCTTGCGCGCCGTTTGTTGCATGATTGCCGTCAGGAACGACTGCGGGTTGAAAAATCCGGCCAGCCATACCGCCGGTGGCAACTGAAATGATTGGAAACTTTTTTATAGTATAAGGGTGACAAACGAGCATATAGTCAACCTGATGGTAAATGAATGTTGTGGCCCATATACATCTACATTTATCCTCAATTAAGAATCAAAATACAAATGCATTGTTACCCCTGATGACTGAGATGGAATGTCTCGTTTCCAGTAAAAAGGGTCTCCGGATCTCTACACTCACCATACGAAACACAGCAGCATTATGCTGTTATTTGTAACTTCCAAATTGTAGTGATAATTATTCGGTATTATGATTTATGACTAACGGTGTAGCGGCGATGTAAAAATATCCACTACCCCATATTATTCCGTGGATGTCGTAAGAGGCGACAGCATGAAGTTAAACCAGGAGATGAGCAACAGCATCTTCCTGATAACATCTCCATAAAAACCTGCTTGCCAAGCGTGGCAATTTTGGCAAATATCTCGTCTATGAAATAATCTTTGTGGGAGGCCTATGTTTTAGCAGTAAACTTTTGTAGGCAGTAACGTTAAATGATTTATTATTAGCCAATTAAATAATATTAAAAATAATATTAAAAGTCCACTGCCTTACATCTACTGAGTTGTAAGTAACTGTCATAACAGCCCTATTTGGTGATGGAAGTAACCAACTTTCTTACTGCGACTGCCTTAGATTCTACAACTCGATATAGAGTTACGATTTTTTAATAGACCTCGGGGGCTATTTAGATAAAAAGTATCTGCCTAAATCTTTTGTGGCACGGAGGAGTCCGCTTCACTGATCACTTTTCGTACTTCAAGAACAACAAACAACAAGTAATTTCTCTAAATCTTTTCTTTAAACTTTTGTAATTTTTCAGACATGCAGGGTCTCTTGCGATGTTTTCTTTCGCCGCCGAACACGTAATAAGGCCGAGTATATATATTCGGAATTCTGAAAGTATGTTTTTAGGTCGGCTGCAAACTTTTGGAATTCCGTTTTTTCCCCACAAAACTTCGAACGGAAAACTACTGTACGTATGTGATAGGTCCTTGATTTTATATGGATTTGGTACGTTCGGAATTCTGAATAGGAATTCCGAAACGGAATTCCGGATGTATGTGGCCGGCCTAAATGAAGCAAGAGATACTTATGCTTATATATCCATTATCTATAACGGAACCATTACGGCCATTGTCTGAATTTACATACAAATCAAAAAGTAAGTCGGTTTATAATTTTAACACGAAACAAATATTTCGTTAGACGGACGTTTAAAATACAAACATTACAAATATCTAATTAAAATGGTCAGCAAAACATGTATAGATTTTTTATTTCACATATAGTGAGACTCACATTAAAGTCCCCGGACCAATTCTCGAGCTCGGTAAGTCTAAGGCACAGGTCGGAAAACCAAGCAGCAAGCCCCAGCAAGCTCGGGTAGGCAAGCTTCGTCCACGTCTCGGGCACGTGGTCCATGAACAACGACTCCATCAAGTTCTCCATGTCGCTGCTGATCGTTAACTCGCCCTAGATTACAAAAGCTTATTACGATACCAGAAATTATATATTTAAGTAATGGATGTATGTATGGGAGTAGACGTTTTTGCTGGTCATTTCCTTTGGTTTATCTCGTGTCGGTGTGGTGAAATGAAGTGGTGGATTGTTTACTGTATCCACCACATAATAGATATTGTGACGTCCCTGTAAAACATGCAAGAAGTCGAAGATTGCTCGTGGTTAGGAACCGCGTTTTGTGGCATTCCTTGGGGCGGCAGTGGATTTGTTCCTGGACTTGTCCTTTACAAGTCCACTACTGAAATACGATGTTATAATTATGATGACGATGATTTATTTTTAGATAATTATACGTCAGGTAATCCACCTACCAAGCTTGATTATTAAAGCAAATCCTCCCTACGACGGGAGAGGCTCATATCCAATGTGGGCTTTACTGGGCAGATGATGAAGAAGAAGAACATCTTACATATCCCATGTTAGTCCCCTTGAGTCCGAGCTCTAGCTTCTTGATCAAACGGCATATTTCGCCTATGAATCAGTTCATGTTGGTTACCTTGTGTCCGAGCTCCAGCTTGTTAAGCAAGCGGCGTATCTCGCCCACGAACTGGTTCATATTAGTGTTTCCTATCTGAGCTTCAGGTTCTTGAGCAAGTGGCGTATTTTACCCATGAACCACTTCATGTTAGTTTTCCTGAGTACACGCTCCAGTTCTTTGTGCAAGCGGCGTATTTAGCCTATGAATCAGTTCATGTTTAGTTACCTTAAGTATGAGCTCCAGCTTCTTGAGCAAGCCGCGTATTTTACCTATGAACCTGTTCATGTTAGTTAAATTGAGTCAGAGGTTCAGTACCTTAAGCAAGCGGCGTATTTCGCACATGAGTCCGTTCATGATAGTTTCCTTGAGTATGATCTCCAGCTCCTTGAGCAAGCAGCGTATTTTGCTTAGTTACCTTGAATACGAGCTCCAGCTCTTTGAGCAAGCGGCGTATTTTGCCCATGAACCAGTTCATGTTAGTTAGCTTGAGTCCGAGCTCTAGTTCCTTAGGCAAGCGGCACATCTCGCACATGAGCCTGTTGATGTTACTTACCTTGAGTCCGAGCTCCAGCTCCTTGAGTGACCGGCGTATCTCTCCCATAAGCCTGTTCATGCGCTCGCACTCCTGCAGCGCGACGATAGTGAAGGGCGTGAGCTCCTCCACCTTGCCCATCAGCTCTGCTAGATTGAAAGGCTCCGGCACGCGGTCCATAATGTCGTCCAGCTGGTATTTCACCTGAGATGGGCACACAACCCGGAAAAGCCATTTATTATTTAATTTATTTTATCGTAAAGTTTTATTTGTTGTAATGGGTTGGAGATATGGAAGTCTGAATTTATAACCCCGCGTTTAAATGTCTGTCTTTCCTCCGTAAAAGCGCACGCTCTTATCTTTGTGTGCGTGTGTGAATGCATGCGTACGTTTGTACGTACGTTCGTGTGAACAAATGTGTGTGCGTGCGTGCTTGCGCGTGTGTTGATGTGTCCAAAAATGATTATACTACATAATTTAAAATAGCTCAATATATTAAGTTGATTTTATAATAGCCCATACCATTTCCTCTTTGCTGGCACCACCGCCGGCTTGAGCACCAGTATCTCTGGGTTGCATTTCGAATACCACCTAAAACAATGAAAGCATCCTGCATAAATTATAGCTATATTTTTTATTATAATTAATAAGCTTATGTTTAAGTTTGACTGAATTACCGCTTGATGTTTATAGTGATGAAGTCCTCATGAGATGGTAAGATGTTAGCATTGAAAATGTCTTTTTTCTCTTTGTCTTGGAGATAAGAGAGACCAATTTCCTTTAAAAATACCACTCTTAAAATGTCGACTGTTGAAGTAATATTTGAGAATATTTGTGAATGTTTGAGGCATCGACGTAGTTAGGAAAAATGACGACTGTGATTATTGAAAACATTTTTTATATAGCGTATAACGCTAAAGGTCTAATCATCAATATTTTAATATATGAGTATATTAAAAGATTGATGGCGATAAAAATTTTTGGGACGCCGCTAAGATGTAGTTGATTGTAGCGACCGGTAGGAGAAAATAGGCAACGATGGATTGCGGCCACAGCAAATTTTAAGATAAAATAAAGTCTTCTGATTTATCTTCAACCCGTAAAAGTCCACTGCTGGACACAAGGCTCTCCCGCTTTTAAATAAGTATTTAAGACTTTGCCTTATTCATCACGTTTCGCAAGCGGATTGGCGGTCATCTCGCATCTTTACATACTATATTATAGTAGTAACAAGCAACAACAACTATTCAAATTCATTTAAAAGCAAAATAATGTGATTTTATTATAAACTTTTACCTTAAAAAGTCTATCGGAAACAGTTGTCAGATAACCGATTTCGGCGTTAGGATGCAGACCGTACAGATATGGCGTCTCGTCGGGCAAGAAGTCGTCAATGTACTGATGGTAGCCCACATAGTCCGAGTTAGGGGGTGATATGAAACCTGGCGCAAGTTGAGCTTCACCGTCCACCTGCAAAGGAATTTCCAGATTTATATCGGAGAGGCAAAGCTATGCTAACAAATAAATAACAGAATATTGACCAAGTTGGACTTTTAACCAAAATCACCACACAACCTGGAATAGCCAAACCGCCCCCGCTACTTGGCGGCGCACAAAATCCAAACCATTTCAGTTAACCCATTTAGACTGATAATTATTTTTGTAAAAAATTTGTGTTTCATTAACAAAAGCTGATCCAAGAAATTCTAAAAACCGAGGGAAAAATATTTAAAAAAAAATTAATAAGAGGGGGAGGGGGGACTGTGGGGGCGTAACACATATGGTACAGTAGCACTATAATAATAATAATAATAATAATATTCCACAACTATCAAACAACGCCATCTAGTCCCAAGCTAAGCAGAGCTTGTGTTATGGGTACTAGACAACTGATAAACATACTTATATATTTCTAAATACATAAATATTATAGATAAATTACACCCAGACACAGAACAAATGATCGTGCTCATCACACAAACATTTGTCCTGGGTGGGAATCGAACCCACGACCTCCGGCGTAGCAGTCAGGATCACTAACCACTAGACCAACAGGCCAGTCAAAATATATGTATGCAATAAAGACATGATTTCACTTATTAGATTTTATCTACTTTTTGGTCCGATACATAATAAAGCACTCTACGTGAACCCCGATATTGCACTTGACACACTTTGTAGGACATTGTTTGTGGCATAGGCCACACCTGGTCCTCTTTTCTTGCATGGTGACATAGTGTTCTTTGGCGTCGTATCGGAAGTCTTATGTTATTGAAGATGACCGACTAGGACCTGGTGTTTCGCGTTGTTTATTACTATCGATAATATAATTTGCAATACGACGTCGAAAGTTTAGCAAGTCGATATTCCCTCCGTTATGTTTGTACAGCAGCCACACATTTCGTGCAGACATGTCAATACAATGGAGAATCAGAGGTATATATCATGAATAAGAGATAATCATAAAAGCATCTTTATTTGGTCTTTGCTTCCTTGTTACACAATATTGGGCACTTTCCAGATCTACGAGTATTTTCTCTGATAGTACCAGTTACACGAAATCCCCTCTCATTGAGTTCATGAACTAAAGGCAATCCGGTAAAAAAGTTGTCTATGAAGAGATGGTAGTTTTTTCCACAGCCCAATGTTAGCAACAACAACAGCAGTTGATCTGCATAAGACAAAACCACACTTGCATCAAAACAAAGCTGGGAATATTGGGCATTCGTAAATGTAGAAGCACCAACCCATAATTTGGTACCCATATTTTCATTCGGTTTTAATATGCTCAATAGAAAATCGCAAATTTTGGGGCTGCTCGTGTCCGTAGGAAATACTTGAAATCTGACTCCCTACACGTGACTCCGGGTAGTGCTAAACGAGTAGCACCAATTCCGGTGGTAGATTTCAGCCGCTGGCTTTTTGGTAACCACCCACCAATGCTAAGTCTTGTCGCCAAATGATGTTGTCGTGTTCCGGCATGATGCTTGATGAAGCCATATGGAGAATGGGTCTGAACAGTAGCGTTGTGTGTGTCAATCGGGTGCGAAGCGTCAGTTGTTGCTGTGTCGGGTGCTTGGTCGTAGAGGGTAGCGGGATCCGTAGCACGATGTTCTGCTGGCCAACCGCAGATAGTTGCGGGCTCAATTAGTAGTGTATTAGCTACTCATGAAAGGCTTCCCCGCCAACCTGCGAAAAATCCCAGGGTAGCTCCAACCCTAGAGCATAAATTCCATCTTCGCGCCGGAATCTGTGTGTACGTCAGCAATGACATCTGCTTCCAGCGTCTCCGTCACCTTGAAGGCCCCACTTTTTCGACAATCTGGGTTACGGTAGATACAGATATTGATAAAATCCTTTATGCCTGTGTCTATCGATCGCACAGCGGTGACCAGGAGACAACACGATTATTTGATCACCTTAATGAGGCTTCTGATGTGGCCCTAAATTGGTATCCTACTGCACAGCTGGTCTTTCTGAGGGATTTTAACGCCTCTCACCAAGACTGGCTGTTCCCATACCAGAAGACCGACCATGCTGGAAGAGAAGCGTGGGATTTCGCCTTGACGCTAGGTCTTTCTCAGCTAGTAAAAGAAGCGACTAGGGTACCCGATGTAGACGGTTACACAGTCAATTGCTTGGACCTTCTACTGACTACGGAACCAGACAGATATGAAGTATAGGTTACCTCACCTTTGGATACATCTAACCACTGTATGGTGAAATCTGTATCGTCATATTCTCCACCTGATTACGAGTCCCAAGGTGAACGACGAATATAGTGGTATAAGTGAGCTGATTGGGATGAGATGCGACATTTTATTGCATCCTATCCTTGGCGGGAGGTCTGTTTCTCTTCTGCAGATCCGTCAAGTTGCGCGGATGCGATAACCGATGTGTTACGTCAAACTATGGAGTATTTTATCCCATTTTCTGATGCTCCCATAGGTAGCAAAGCTCGCCCGTGGTTTAACACTGAATGCGCCCGGAGATGTAGTGTTCTATTGTCGCTAAAATCGCGATTCACTCAACTTAAATCACTTCCACTAGCTTTATATTGGCACTTCCACAATACTCGTAATAGAAAAAGTACACCAATAGCAAGAGGAGATTTCAATTAGTACTCTGACGTAGTTATAAGATTATTTATTTCGTATTATTAAAATAAAGGTCAGTTGGTCGGTACGGATGTGAGCAAGATATCTTTCAAAAAACTGAAATTATAGCTTTAATTTTTTTTATTAGCTTTAGATTTTAATCCTTAGGAAACCTTCTGAATTTCACTAATGTAAATCACCCTGTTCATTTTTTTTTAAATATTATTAATGATTTGACAATTTTTTCGGTAAAAAAATACGAATCAGCAGTAAAAAAAATTCGTGTAAATTAAACAGAAACCATTTTTTGTAGCTTTAAACGAAATACGTGTTGCGGTAATTAATAAAAGTAAATTGATTATTTAAAACATGACATGAACGTTAGAGGTGTGTGCACACTTTTGGATTTTCAACATTATATTTTATACTGCAAAGACCGGACAAAGTCAACTGAACAGCAAAACCGACATACCAAATCATTTTGAGCTTAATTTTTTATACTAAAAACTAGCTGGCCAGGCAGACGTTAAAAACTGTCCTATCTCTCTAGTTGGACCAAACTGCACAGAGAGTGCAAAATTTCATTGAAATCAGTTCAGTAGTTTAGGAGTTAATCGCGGACAAACAACGTGACACGTAATTTTTATACATAAAGATTGCGTTGTATATCAGAAAATTCTTCACGGGCTGAATTTGAAAACGAGTAAATAAAGACGTGACGTTATGATAGCATGTCCATTTTTTATGATAGAGAGTTTATTTGATAGAGAACTACATAAAAAATTATCAAACGTTATGAGATTATATTTCCTGTATTTTTCTTTAAAAAAATAGATTGTCAATACTTAATTTTAACGGTCCCATAGTCCACATAGCAATTTGAATAGAGAAGTTGCATTAATTTTTTATGCCACAAATTTATATATAAATGAAAGAATAATTCATTTAAAGTATATTTAAATAATTATTTTTTATTAACAATTCCACTTTTTTAGTAATTATTAATAAAAATATTTAAATTTTTGAATTAAAAAAACGACTTGTGATTGGGAGTGACGTCAATATATTCGTTGAGGCTGAGAGCAAATCGCATTCATGCTATTTTTTTTATAGAATAGGGGGCAAACGAGCATGCGGCTCACCTGATGGTAAGTGACTACCGCCGCCCATGAACAACCGCAACACCAGGGGAATTGCAGATGCGTTGCCGGCCTTTTAGAAAGGTGTAAGCTCTTTTCTTGAAGGTTCCTAAGTCGTATCGGTTCGGAAAATTCGCTGGTGGTAATTGATTCCACAAAGAAGTTGTGCGAGGGAGAAAACTTCTTCTAAATCGCACAGTGGTGGACCGCCAATCATCCAGATGGTATGGATGGCAACGCGAGTTTTGTCGCGACGTGCGATGGTGAAATTGAGCGGCTGGAATTAGTCTGAACAATTCCTCAGAGCACTGCCCGTGACAGATGCGATAAAATACGCAAAGAGATGCAACATCTCTACGCAGTGCCAGTGTATCGAGCCGATCGGAAAGAACTCGGTCGTCGACGATTCGAATCGCTCTGCGCTGGATGCGGTCAAGTGGAAGGAGCTGGCACTGGGGTGCCCCGGCCCAGAGATGAGAACAGTATTCCATGTGGGGCCGAACTTGCGCTTTGTAAAGTTGTAAGTGATGTGCCGGCATGAAATACTGTCTCGCTCTGCTGAGCACGCCAAGCTTTTTAGAGGCCAATTTGGCCTTCTCTTCCAAGTGACCACGAAACTGCACGCTATTCGATATGTCGACGCCAAGGATTCCGATACTGGCTGAGGCAGCAAGGGGAGTTCCTTGAAACTGAGGAGATACGACAAAGGGGTTCTTTTTAGAGGTAAACGCGCAAACTTGTGTCTTCTGGGGATTGAACTGGACTAGATTTAGTTGGCCCCAATCCGAGACTTTGTTAAGCAAAGACTCGACTTCAGACACAAGTTTGTCCCGGTACTCGGCGACGTTTTTCCGAGAAATATTGGCACGGCCGGTATATAAGGCATCCCCAGTGCTGTCGTCTGCATAGCAATGAATGCTACCAGTTAGCAACATATCATTGATATGCAGGAGAAACAGCGTTGGTGATAGCACACAGCCTTGTGGAACACCAGCGTTGATAGGCTTGTAATCAGAGCATGCACCGTCTACTACGACCTTGATGCTCCGATCAGCAAGGAAACTGGTGATCCATTTGCACAATTTCTCGGGAAGCCCATAGGAAGGAAGCTTCGAAAGAAGCGCCTTGTGCCAGACCCGATCGAAGGCCTTCGCTATGTCCAGACTAACGGCCAATGCCTCCCCATTGGACTCTACTGCCTCCGCCCATCTATGAGTTAAGTAAACTAGAAGATCACCTGCTGATCGACCCCGACGAAAACAGTACTGACGGTCACTGATCAGCTGGTGATCCTCAAGGTACCTCATGAGCTGGCAGTTTATAATGGATTCCATTATTTTGGAGAACAAGGAGGTGATGGCGATAGGCCTGTAGTTGGACGGGTCTGAGCGGTCGCCTTTTATAGGGATCGGGTGGACCAAAGCTGTCTTCCATGAATTCAGGACTACGCCTTGGGAGTACGAGTACCGGAAAAGACGCGTTAAAACCGGTGCCAACTCCGGAGCACACGTCTTCAGCACAATGGGAGGGACTCCATCGTGCCCACTCGACTTGCTGACGTCCAGGGAGAAGAGTGCTTTGCGAACCGAGCGCTGTATAAATCGCACATCCGGCATGGAGCACTCACATCGCGGGATGGTCGGCGGTGTGTTCCCCCCGTCATCTAGAGTCAAGTTAGACGCAAAAAGAGAGCACAACAGATCGGCTTTCTCTTTTGCGGCATGGGCCAGTGAGTCGTCCTCTCTGTGCAGAGATGGGAGGGATGGCTGACAGAAGTTCCCTTGGACAGCCTTGCCGAGAGACCAGAATGCACGGGTTCCCGAAGGAAGGCGAACTAGCTTCTCGCCAATTCTGCCGATGTGCTCAGACCTTGCCTTGGCAATGACGCTTTTGAAGGACCTTTTTTTTTTTTTGCGGATGGAAAATCATCAAATGACGCCTTTCGCTCTGGGTGGAGCGGAAGGGAGTGTCAGACTTTTACTGACTAAAAACCATCCGTGTTCCTTCAGTGCCCTTACGTTCCGGAGCCGCGGTATCTCTTTCGAACAGCCCGCAGCCCCGGCAGGCGTCGGCCCTTGCGGGCCCCTTCACGCTGCTGACAGCTCTTTGAGGCGCGCGTGGAACAAAACGCGCCGTCGACACGGCCTGTCGTCGTTAGACGGACGGACGGCGAGCTACCCATTGCTCAAACCCGCCCTCAAGGGTAGGATGCAAAATAAGACCGCATCCCGTCCCAATCAGCTGACCTATAGTGCCAAACACGGCGGCAAGCTGTAGATCGCAACTGCGATTGGAGCGTGAGTGGCACCGTGCCCGTGCTCCGGATCAGACAATGGTCTGAAGAGCCCAGAGGGGCATCGACGGAGACCTGATATCCGTCCGGATGAGAGGTCAGCAGAAGGTCCAACAGGGAAGGTACATGGTCTTCCACATCTGGGATCCGCGTAGGCGAAGTTACCAGTTGTGTTAGACCATATTCCAAAGCAAAGTCGTAGACAGATCTACCCGCATGATCGGTTAAACGAGAACCAAGCCATTCAGCGTGGTGGGCGTTGAAATCACTAAGTATCACGATCTCTGCGGATGGGACCTGTTGTAGCACGGAGTCTGCAGCCATTTGGACGTGGTCGATGAGTCGGTCTGTGTCGGCATTACCGCTATGGGACCTATAGAGGCACCCGTAGACGCGGGGATGGTCGTCGCTGTCTACACGCAGCCATAGGATGGACAGGTCCGTACCTTCAAGGCTGCCGAGGCGTCGAAAACAGATGTCCTCTCTGACGTATACACAAACTCCAGCCCGGGGCACAAAGGAGTGTTCCAATTTGTATCCCGGGTAGGAGAGATATGAAGTATCAGCCGGAGAGGACACCTGAGTCTCGGTTAAAAAGAGCAAGGCCGGCTTTGCCGTCTCTAGATGGTAATGGACAGCGTTAAGGTTGGAATGAAGTCCCCTGATGTTGCAAAAATTCACGGATAGCGTGACAGGGGTCGCCTTGGTTGTATTGCTCCGCTTGCCCCGAGCAGTATTAGTCACGAGCGGAATTTTGCCCCCCCCCCCCCCCCCCAGAATACGTGGGGCAGCCAGAGTACCCACGCTCAGGAGTGAAGTAGTTTGTTCGTGGATGCTCAGCGAGGGATTATCCAGGGGTGCTGGTACCCTCCTGGGGTAGTCTTGTAATTAATTCCACTACCATGTTGATGGGGGGGGGGGGGGGGGGGGGAATTGGGCCTCCGGCCACTTGCACTCACCAAGCGAGGTAAACCTCTACTTCACGCTGGTATTCTGTGAGGTCGTGGTACCACCCCGGTTCGAGCTGGCCCATCCGTGCGACAGCAAAAGCTACCGCTTGGCTCTACCACTGTTAAACTTACTTTTGTATTTATGCTATACTTTTGTATTTTCTATATTCGGATCACTATTTTCTATATTATGCAATGACAATTTTTTATATTTTGACAACGAAAAAATGAGTGTGTTTATCATTTCACCATGCGGTGGCGTTACTAAAGTGATATAATGACGTCACTGGCGTTTGAATTTTAAATAAATAAATATTTCCAGTGTCGATACCACTAATACAGACGAAAGATCGTTCACAAATTGTGATATAGTTATTCTAACTTTATAAAGTGATTTACGAAGATCAAATGCTTATTAAGCGTAACTTGTATTAACTACCCTCTAAAATTACTGGTAGTAAGTTTATACAGACCAGCTCTGGCTGCATGTACTCCAGCAGGAAGGTGCGGCAGAGGCGGCGGTCCCAGTCGTCGGTGATGTGTCCGCCGTACATGATCTCGCCGAACAGGTAGCGCAGGTCCTCCCACGGCACGCGCGGGTTCGCCTCCAGGTAGTTGTACAGCACGTACACGCAGATCGTCAGGTCGCCGAAATTAAACGGGTATGTCCTGGAAACAAAGATATTTTAACTTTGTAGTATTTTAGAGCTGTAATACCACTGCGAAAAGATGACGCTCGCACTTGATACGTAAAACCGTTGATGTGGCAAAAGGCGACTGTGGAATCTAATGCGTTCGATAGATAGCGGTATGACCACCTCTTTAATATAGTTCAGATCGGCGTGAAGGAGTAGCGTAAAGTGTGAAACATATGGCAATACGATTGTCAATTGACTTGTCAAGAGTGGCGTTTTAGGTAAATTTCTCCTACAGTGGGAGAGGTGCATGTCATACATGTCTTGCATGCTGTGCAATGATACGCGAAATATCCAATCAAAAACACTGAAGCCAAGATTCACAGACCGGTCACGTAAACAGCATTACTAATACCAGGGTAATGTGACTGTAGGCTCACCAACTCACCTGTCCATCATGTATGGACAAATATTGTTAAAAAAATCAAATTCCATACATTTCTATGACATATATAACACAGTGGATTTTGTTAATACCTACGGCGGTATTAATTTCAAATAGTGAAAAAATTGGGTGCAAGTTTCGTAGATTGCCTGAAACTATAAAAAGTGTTCTAATGCTCTGTAAGAATAGGGAGATACCTCATGTACCGGAGCTACAACTTTAGACAAGATTGCATGTGGTAAAATTAATACTTACCAGTGTAAAATGTCCATTCTGCATATTTTAGGAAAGTTATATAAAGTCATTTGAATTTTTATTTAATAGCCGAGCTAAGCTCGATCAACCAGGTATAGTTCGGATAATACGCATAACCAAGAATTATTTTAAATTCTATAAAGTAAAATATTTGTGAATAAATTTTTACCTGTTCCATCCTTGTGGACCAAATTTACGTCTCTCTGCAACTACAGCATGGAAATAGCAAAGTGCAAAAAGTATGGACTTAAATTCTGCCTCTTTACTGCACATCTCAAGTGTTTCTTGGCTGAAGTTGTCAAGAGACTGAAATATAAAGAAGTTATATTTTAAAACCAAATACAAGTAAGACTGGGTTTAAAATGCTAAAATACCTAGAATGGTTTTGTACGCGCTGGAAAGCACGCATTGTGTTTAAAAGCGCCTTGCTAGAAGTGAAAGGAGGAGAGTTTTTACCTCTCCCGATGCGGATCCTTGTCCAAATATCTACGAGTATCCATGATAAATACTCGTGAGATATAAGAGATATAGAAAGGTTAGCTGGTAGAGAATGCCATATAGCATTAAGCTCGCATTTTGTACAAATATTTGGTGCAAAAAAGAATAAATAAATAAATAGTTATACGTTAGATTATTTACAATAAACAAATGGTTTGTATGCCCTTTTAATGTATAAAAAAGTTACTATCTAGCTCGAAGGACCATAAAGTATTCAGTGTTGGATTAAAGTAAAATAATCACACAAATTATCTTTATAATGAATAACACGATGTAAGTAGAACAGAATGCTAAAATTAATGCTAAAACGTGTTAATTTTTTTATATCTTTTTTGGGGTTGTGTTCATTACGGTTAAAAATTAAAACGGACACAGTTTTTAAATAGTAATTACTGCATAAAACATAGGCGTAACAAGAAATGTACGTTTTCAACGTATAAATTAATGCAATAATAAATAAAGAAACATTTTTATAAATGTTGAAGGTTGGTTGATGTACGATGTCGACTTAAGAGAATCCATCACTTCATTTTGTCCCGAGGGTATCTTAAGAAGAAACTATGAGAAAGGCTTGTAGATCTCATCTTAAATTAACGCGTCGTAAAATAAACTAATTATCATGCAAGTAAAGGAAAGCAGTGTCAACGTGATTAACAATACACCAGTTGAGTGTGACGGTTTGCGCCAAATCTTTCTAGGCATCTCCAACAGTGGACTGGTATGAGCTGATAAGAAAGTACTAAATAAAAGTAAACAAAGAAACATCAGCAATTTATTATAATAAAACTGTATTTATGTTAAGTATTGGTAAATAGGGAAGAGCTTACTTTGTGCAGGTTTGCCCACATACCAATGGGCGGTTCGTTGGTGATCTTGATAGCTGACTCTAGGATGCCTTGCGGGATAATGTGGAAGGCCGCGTCAGCCGCCGGCTCGGCGCTTAGAAATAACCTGAAATATTCAACGGTCAGACTCCTCGCTACCAATGTTTTAAGAACATTTACAGATAATACAATTAAACATGGCGAAAATTAAACATTATATTTTATGTTGGCTAACAAACCGTAAATAGGCGTACTATTGTCATAATGGCATTTAAAAGCGAATATGCCAATTTTAAATGAAGCAGAAAATCCAATAACGCTGAACGCAAACTAGTATGTATGTAACGGTGAGTACCACATCGTTCTAGTACATTACTATTCGTACATTAGTTCCAGTAATGTACTAGAACGATGTGGTACTCACCAACCCGCAACATCAGACCCATCAGATCTTGCAACCCTAACCACCGCCTCAAAATACAGCCCCAATGTGGGCAAGCCAGAGGGTCGAACCTCCACTGGATGCCCTTCCTGGACATCGCAGCACCTAAATAAGTCCTGTTACTGGACAGAAGTCCGACGACCTCTTTCAAACACCTATCTGTGCCCCTATGATTCGTTCCGCAATCCGACCGGATCAGGTCTGCAAACCGCGATGCGATACGAAGCGGCCCAGCGTGGCCACAAAGGCTTCAGTGCTAAGGACACTCACAAGTTCTACATGAACGACGTCTGTGGAGAGGCAAACGAAACGCACAGATTGTCCTTAGTACGATTTTTCAAGCAAGTAGGCATAACCAAGCCATCTACGATATGGTAGATGGCTATCATCTACTCAATTGTGCGGCAGCTGATTTCAATCTGATAATCTCCCAACTAGCTAGCCCTTTTAGACATGTAGTCCTATGCTCATATTTCAAACAAGTTTCAAAAGCATCAATGTTCAACTACTGAATTAATTCAAACAAATTAATTTACCGATGCGCATGGATCAAAACAGACGAATTAAGCAAAACGATAAACGTAAGAGACAGCCCTATTTCTCTTTCCAAATAAATATATTCGATAGTGCCAACAAAAATGTGAAAACAAAGAGAGGAATGATTCTTATTCCCTTCGGCACAAATAGTGTTATTCAACTTCAACAAAGCAAACACAATGATCAAATACATTTACAAAAACATATGCACACGCATTCAAAGAGCACATCATTCAATTTCAATTTTCTTTTCAACAAAACAAACACAATGATCAAATACAATTACAAAAACACATGCACACGCATTCAAAGAGCACATCAAATTCGCCCTCTTACTCACAACCGCCACAAATATTAAACATTTCGCGGAAAACCAAAATAATTTTTAATTTTAATTTAAAGCATCATTAATTAAGTGCTCGACCAAAACCAAATCTAATAGTCCTTGACAGCGTGATTCAACGCTCCAGGGGAGCCCTAGTCTTCCCAACAACCAAGTGGAGGCCATACCGACTGGTTCGGGGAGGGACCCCTTTCAAACCCAGGGGCACGGTGGCCGGCAGGCGAGCGCCGAGCGTCTCCCGCCAGGGGGCGCGGCTGAGCGCCCCCGCCTGTGGGAGTCGATTATTCGTACATTAGTTCTAGTAATGTACTAGAACGATGTGGTACTCACCAACCCGCAACAGATCAACGTGGTACCTAAATATCTATCGGCTTATCTTCCAAGTAATGCTGTTTGTTAATTATCATTCCAGCTGATACATTTTTGGTAAAGTTCTTACTTCTTACACAGAAAGGACTAAGAAATTGCTAATGTGATGTGATTATGTTAAAAACTTGCCGAACACAAGTAATATAATGGCCTCCAGACCGAACTTTGGTCACGGCGGCTAGTTGGAAACAAGCCCTCTGTTTAGGCCAAACAATTAACATTTGAAATTTGCATTCAACACTCCTGTCCGCCCGCTGACTTTGTAAAGGTCACCGTCGCCCCACTCCCGTGTGGTTCGCTCGGCAGAGGGCGCGAGTGCAGGACGCGAGTGCGAAGTCAGTAGCTTGAGAGCAGCGGCGCGGTCGATTTACGTATTTTGTGGTGATCGCTGCAGCGGTTTCGCGCGACCAGTTTTGGTTTTGTGGTCTAGATTTTTAGTATTTGTGCGCGTTTAATTCGCTATTGAATTTGTGGTTTCGTGAAGACCGCCTCGGATTAGTTTGTCTTAGTTGTACGTTCGTGACAAGAGACTTGTATTGAATTTGACTGATTAAAGTAATTTCGTTTGAAAGTAATTGCGTCAATTGTATAGTGATTGCGTGTTGAAGTGCATTTTGCAATATTTAACTTGATCGTGTGACGTGGAACCTTGCGCGCACGCCGAGTAGAGATACGGTCTGGAATTTGAAGCTCGCATTCCATTTCGAGGGCGTGACCCGGTTAATTGTTTTTGGAAGGCATTGTTTAATTGTACCGTCGCGTTAAGAGCCTTTTGTGTGTTGATTTTGAATTCTTATTGCGGCGTAGTATTTAATATCGTACGAAGGAATTTAGTTTGTTGTTTGGGAACGCCGAACTTTGAGACTCGAGAAGAAGCCGCGTTCGATACCGTGTTTGTAAATTTGTGCTACGTGAACCCGGAACCTTGAATATTGAACTTTGAACGACTGTTAGTTACTTGTGTCGGGTGTCACGTGTTTGATTTCGATGAACGTTGAATTGGTTGACTTTGAAGTTAATTATATGTACCATAAAGTTGATGGATTGAAATAGTGTACAATAAAGTTGATAGACTGAAATAGTGAAATGAAGAAAGAAGTTGTCAGTTGGTGACGTCCGCTGGAGTGGTACAACATGGTTGGGCAGCATCGGACCAGGCCGCTGCCCGGTCACCTCAACTGGGTCAGGTAACATAAATAAACACTACTACACACCACTTACATGCACCTACACCTACCTAACGCCTGACTGAGCCTTGGAGCAGTCTTAGCTTCGGAACCAGGTACGTACTATTTGTTTACCTAGCCTTATATCTATTGTGTAGAATGATAAGTCTCCATAGGCCGTTGGGCCCCACCCTTAGTTGTCCGTCGAATCTACCGCTGATGGGCCCCGGGATATTTGACCTTTGTTGGGGCAACTAGGGGCGTGTACACCATCTCTGCAGGACAGGATTAAAGTGTGCAAGTGTGCACGCTAGCATTAGTGCACTGACTATATCCTCAATCTCATAGTCCGATGATCTTCCTCATAGCACGTGTAACCTACGGAGATCAAATGATAGCTTTCGCACTTAAGTTAACTAGCAGCCGTGATCGAAATTCAGTCTGAAATACATGGACATTTTAGTTTTAAGTATTGTTTAAATTTAATTTCTTTTAATGATTAAGTATAATTATGCCTTTCGAATGCGGTAGCCCTAACTTACCTCCAACAATCGGACTGTAATATTATGCTTAGAAAAGTTTAGATGAAAAAGCAGAATTCGAAAAATTTATTGGTATCTGAAATAGTGTCGTAAGTAGTGGTAATCTATTATGATGGTTTTTTTATCCCGAGTTATTATGATGTCAATTTAATACGCATAATATTTGCATCGTTACATTGCTGTGGTGTGGTTAGAAATGGTGTGAGCAGTAAAACATTTGTATTAAATTTTTTTATACCTACTACGTTTTTTATAATATTATTGCATTGTCATCCGAAATTAAGCACACTGAAATGATCGGGAATAAAATATTTCGGTTGAGTTACAATAAAACCCTTTTTAGAATTTGAATACTGGCCTCTTAGAATCTTAACGACATTCAAACAATTAAAAAAAATGTTTAAAAACAAAATCTATGTTGGTTTAAAGTTGACACGTCGTTAATAAAAATGGAGCCACGCGTGAACATTTCCATGCCATAATTTGACACAATTTTCGTCGCGGCTTATCTCAAGATAAATGTCTCAACGAACTAGTTTCGATTTATGATGTTGAAGCACTGAGTCAAACGACAATATACTGCTGGTATGCCGAGTTCCTACGCGGTCGTGTGTCGCTCAGCACTGTTTCTTCTGCAGGTCGACCAAGAACAGCGGTCACGCCTGAAAACATCGCAGCTGTGCGAACTATTATATTAGATGACCATCATGTGACATACGAGCAGATTCGGGCTGTTATCAGTATCGGAATGACTGTAATTCAGTCGATATTACATAATGAGATGTGTGTAAGAAAGCTAGTTTCGCGCTGGGTTCTCCACAATTTGTCCGAAGAGCAAAAGGCGGCTCGGGTAGATTGGTGCCGGAATACTCTGCAACGCTTTAACGGAGGGAAGTCAATTATTCATACGAACTTGAAAGAAAACATCAGTCAGCAGTTTGGGTCTTCGAAGACGAGGTCAAACCAACGAAAGTGGTTCGCTCCCGCAGCGTGTCAAAGAAAATGGTCGTTACGTTTGTCTCGAAAAAGGTGCATGTTGCTACGATTCTTTTACAGGAACGCAGAACGGTTACCGCTGAGTGGTACATCACGGTTTGTTTGCCAGAAATGATAGCCGAACTTCGAAAAAATAACCCGAAACGTCGCATCATCTTACATCACGATAATGCGAGCTCTCATACGGCTCGGAAGAGAAATGATTTTTTTGAAGCAGGAAAACGTTGAGCTGATGAGCCATCCTCCGTACAGTCCTGACCTGAGCCCAAACGATTTCTTTACATTCCCTAGAATGATAGATGTATTACGCGGTCAACGGTTTGAAGACCCTGAAGCAGCTGTGGAAACGTACAAATCAGCCATTTTGTCAACATCAACTTCAGACTGGAATTACTGTTTTAATGATTGGTTTGCACGAATGGAAAAGTGCATTAAGTTGAACGGAGAATACTTCGAAAAACAATAAAATACAATTTAGCTATACCGTGCATGTGGTTTTTCTTATTCCCGATCATTTCAGTGTGTCCCTCGTATATTCAAAATTTGACGTTTCTAGCTCTTTGGGAAGTTAGTTTACAAATACAAAGTTCCACCTAGAATGACAGACAGACAAACAAGAAAGTGACATAATAGTAACGTGGTAAAAATATATCACTTGTTTGCCGTATTATAGAGGAATTCAAACTGAATTTTTTTCTAACCTGTACTCAGGCTTCGGATTTTCAAACGTCTCCTCCATCTTTTTCTCTAATGTGGCCAGCCACTTGGCGACCAGATGAATATTCTGCAGTATAACCCAGTGACCGTGTGCGGAGGCGATGCCCATGGCTTCCTCAGCAACTACTTCCTGACCCTGTCCCAGCGACACCACGTGGAACGTCTTTTTCTCAGTCGAGAAACCTAGTTTGCGACCTAGTTTTTCTAGATCCTGCAAATAAATGTATTTAATTATTCATACTACATGGTACCCGTGGTAGTGGCGCTATCGCCACTATCTATCCTAAGCTTATTTAGAGAGCACCATTACGCAGAGACAATGCAACATACATTTTTAATCACGACTTTTTGAACTAATAAATATTGCCACAGTGAAATTTACTGTTTTAACTTTTTTGATTTAGAAAGACGCGCCTGCAACATGCCGAAAGCTCTAGCTAAATATCAAGAAGACGAGTATAAAATGTCCTCCCCAGAGGAGGGGCCGCTGTTAGGTTTGGGTTGGCGGCTGGTAGGTCTGCAGACGCGTATATGCGTGTTCCATGGCTCTGCCAGCTTGCAGTTAAGATGTGACACCATTGGGTATAAGTCAATGTGAATTCTCAATAATCTGACATTGTCTCCTTGAAGCTGGTATGCGTAGGCTATCACCATGAAAAAGGGGGTAGTTAAGTTTCTCTGTAGTAATGGTAGTTATTTAAAGGAGTGAGGGTAGTTAAGTGGCACTATAACCGTTACCGTTATAGCCTATCAAAAGTCCACTGCTGAACATACGTCTCTCCATTGATTGACTCATTATCCATAGTCGCCACGCTTGGTAGGCGGGTTGGCTACTGCAGTTTATTTTTACTTGTTATGAAGAAGACTGCTGCCGCTCTCTAGTTTTTTTTATAGGATAAAAGTAACAAGCGAGCACACAGTCCACCTGATAGTAAGTGGTTGCTGTGGCCCATAGACATCTATGTATATCTATCCTCGTTTGCGAATAAAATGCAGATGCGATGTCACCCGTGAGGACTAAGATGAAATGCCTCTTTTCCAGTAAAAAGCCAAACGAAACACACCAGCATTTAGCTGCTATTTTAAGCTGGTGTTTTATGAGAGTGTAGTCGTTCCCCGGTCGAGTCGACCCATTTGTGCTGCAACTATACTATTAATATAGCTGTAGCATGGCTCTACATTATGTTTCTCTCTGTCGCTTCATACGATATCCACGGGATGATATAGGGTAATGAATATTCTTACACTGCCACTACACGGTCAACAACGGTGCCACTATTAGTCTTCTAATAATATTTTTAGGAATTTATCATCCAGGAAATCAAATCAAGTAACAAATATCTAAGCTTAACGTATAACAAAGCCGCGATAGTAGCTCCATGTTTATGGGTGGAAAGTAAGCCGTGGGCTACTCGATTACCGTCGTAAACCACACTTAGCACAAGCATGACAAGGTCCGTTGGAGTGATCATAGAGAGTAGTAATGGTAGATATTAATAGTTTAGCGAGTATAATATTTTAAATTCATAGTTATTAAGTATCCCCAGTTTGATCTTCGTCGGCGCCTATGAAGTCAATAATCGTAATTATAAGCAGATTTAACATGATGCCATATGATTAAGAGAAAATCTGCATAGATACGATGATCAGAGAGTTGATATTGTTTTTTTTTGGCACAGCGAGAAGGACCCTACCCTGGATCAATACACACTCAGTTACGAGAGAAGATCTAAATATAACAGTAGGTTATAACGTTTGAAGGCAGTATCTTTACTCTTAACTTTACTGTAAATATAAATACTACCTTTAGAGGGTCCACTCCAGGAGACAAAATAAAGAACATGGCGGTTGTGGAAGTGCTCTCTTCATAAGACTTGTCCAAAGAAGGTGTTCGAGCTTCAACGTATTTCGTGCCGAGGTTTTCTTCACAGAATGCTCTAAAAGGTACTTAAGTATTATTTGTAAAAAAATATGTAGGGATCATAAGTATCAAGTAAGAGTAAGATACTTGGAATATTTTTAAACACTGTCATAAATGACAAGAGGCTGTTCAACACTGGAATATATGTGGGCTGTTGCTTGGCAACTTTTTACTTTCCTACACCGCTGGTCTAGTGGTCGTAAGCGTGACTGTTGATCATGTGGTCCCGGGTTTGAATCCAAAATCAGTTATTGGATGTTTCGAAGAGAAATTCTCAGTTGCAGCCCGGAGTTAGGAATTTAGCGGTGTTTCACTTCCGATCTGCCGTTGGTCCTACGCCTGATCTCTCTCTCTCTCTGCTCGTATCGGATTACCGTAATATAGGACTATGAGTGTGAGAGAATAGAGAGTGCGCATGTGCACTATAATCCTGTCATGCGTCCGTCTCCGTTGAGACTGGCTGCCGTGATCTAAATTCGGTCTGAAGGACATTATTATTGTTGTTGTGGGATATTTTCTGAGAATTCTCGTATGGTCGAAATATATAAATATATTAAAAATGAAATGATATACTGCAGAAAATAAAATAAACTAAAATGAATAAATTAAGACTCAACTAGACAGGGGAGACCAAACGATCGAAGGAAAGAAATCGCTGGATGATACGGGCGGTATTGAGAAGCACCGCCTTCTGCATTTGAGTCCGAAGTAGACGTTACGGAGACCCAATTGCTTCAGATGACTCAAGAAGCTAAACGGATTTAGCCGTTTGCATTAACGACTATACGAATAATTTCGGACGGCAGCCCACCCACATATCAATCACGTCGTGAGCCAGGTCTAGATATTTTATTTCATTATCTGTTTCGACTTTTACAAGGTTCTCGTCATACCGAATAGTAGTGACAACTAAAAATATCCTTGACTGTGCCGGGTCCATCAACCCAATATTAGGCTTATTCATAAATTGTTATTATTACTTTTTAGTACTTCTTCTTCTTCATAATCAGGCCGTATAAGTCCTCTACTGAACACGGACTTTTCCCGTTGCAGGGAAAATTTGCTATATTCGTCACGTTTAGCAGGCAGATCGGCATTCGCAGTACCGGTCATCTCGCATTTTTGACGCTTCTGCTCGGCGCAGGTCTGTATATTTTACGTCAGGCATTAATAATTTCGGACATGTTATATTAAACACCGTCAGCCTCACAAGGATCTTATAGGCGCCTCTCACGACACTTAATGAAATAAGGCGGTCAATCTTATTAGGAATATAAATATAACAATCCTTAGGTACAAGACGACCGCTGTTATGCTGTTTCTTAATGTTTTGTTTTATTTAATTGTATGATATATAATTATATATAATATTGTTTCTGGAAATAAGGAAGAACCAAAAAAAAACCCAGCGGAACGGGTTTTTTTCTGGTTCTCCCCAATACAGATATTTATTTACATACCAGTAAAAAATCATAAATGAGTTTCATAAGTATTACTTGTGTAATGTTTAGTATTACGTTCATTATTTCCTTTACTAAGCTCGCCCGCCGCACACGTACGTGTCTTTCTCCTACAGTTGTCCCGTAATATTTTTTTGCGCCCATAGCAAGGCTACCCTCCGGGACCCGGGGAGGGAGGTGATGTATGCTTATAGCATACCACGCAGCCGGCTACGTGGTTAGGTGAGACTCACTATGAAGTGCCTACCCACTAAACACCACCTGGCTGGACTGGCTTTGGACTTTATGGTCTTTCTGCCGAATCGGAAGCGACCACCTTTAGAGAAAGGGGGCGCAGTTAGGGAAAGGGGGCGCAGTTAGAAAAGGGGGCGCAGAATAGGCCCCGTAATAACTGACCGACGTCATTTATAGATAAAGGTATAGTTGATCCCCTCCACTATAACGCGGGCTTTCCCTACTACCACACCACGTGCCATATGTGCCCGAGACAAGGATGGAACTTCAGATACATACATGTATATATATATACACGCTAGGTGAATATAGTATATGTAAATATATTTATTCACATACACTACAACTTGTAAAATATTTAGAAATAAAATTATTCTATTTATTTATTCTATGTATTATATTATTTATTAATATCTATAGAACACATCCACCATTTTCAGTACTTACCCACAAGCGTAGGACATGCGATCGGGTCGCAAGGCGCGCATTATGCAGAGCCTCTGCAGCGGCGTCTTGTTCTTCCATTCACCTGGCAACTTGTCCCTTTCAGGTGCTTCGCCGTCTGTATATTTCTGCCACCTAGGGTATACGACACATAATACATTATACACATTACAAATATTTAAATTTCGGAAGTTTCATCATCATCATCATCATTACAGCCCTTCACAAGTCCACTGCTGAACATAGGCCTCCCCCAAAGAATGCCACAAAACACGGTCCTGAGCCACCTGCATCCATCGACTTCCTGCATGTCTTACCAGGTCGTCACTCCATCTCGTAGGGGGACGCCCTACACTTCGCCTACCGGTACGAGGCTGCCACTCGAGAACCTTTCTTCCCCATCGGTTGTCGGTTCTTCGAGCTATATGGCCGGCCCACTGCCACTTCAGCTTACTAATCCGTTGGGCTATGTCGGTCACTCTGGTTCTGGTTCGGAAGTTTAGATACATTATTTATTTTTTTAAGGTTACCAACAAATTAAGTACTACAGCAGGGCAGGGCATGGGCAGGAGACAATTTTATCCCCGGGGAAAGGAGTAAATGTTTATCCTATCACTTAGTTTTATCCACCCTTCGAGCATGGGCACACCGGTGGACATAATATCCACAGTAGATAAAACGGGAGATATTAGACTTAGATAGATTTTTTGTATGAATATAAACTTAAACCCACGTCCAATGAACTAGAATAAAATTGTCCCTTTCAAATGTCAATAAAGCATAATTTTTTATCTTTCATTTGGATTTTGGACATTTCGGACGGGGGATATATGTCTCCTCGTTATGTCAAAAGAGGATATACTTCTCCCCGTTGCCGTACTTTGGCATAGGGACAAGATAATTTTATCTCTTGTTTGTGGATATAATCGGGGGATAAAATGTTTGTCCCCAGCCCATGCTAGCCTTGCAGTAATCTCTACAATAATATGAACATAATAAAAATATTAAATACTAGTGAACCTCCTTGGCTTCGCCTGGGCGGTATCTATTAATGTAATTTATATCATTATTTAGATTTAAGATAATGATCAACGACTATTTATTTAATGAATTTTTCAATTTCACAAAAAAAATCTTTTCGGATACAATATAGCCTAAATCACTTCTGGCATAGCTCTTATATGTTCGTGAATAGTGTTTATCATATACTGTTTAGCTATTCCGAAGATTATTCCGTGCAGACAAATAAAATTTTTAAAAATTCTACGTGGTAGAGTCATGCTGCAGCTATATTAGTAGTATAGTTGTAGCACGAATGGATCGCCTCGACCGGGGAAGGACCACGCTCTCACAGAATACCAGCTTAACACTGCTGTGTTTCGTATGGTGAGTGTAGAGAACCGGAGACCCTTTTTACTGAAAAAGAGGCATTCCATCTTAGTACTCACGGGTGTCAACGCATCTGAATTTTGATTCGCAAACGAGGATAAATGTAGATGTCTATGGGCTACAGCAACCACTTACTATCAGGTGGAATGTGTGCTCGTTTGTCACCCTATTCTATAAAAAATGGTTATTCATCTCTTAATGGCAAAGAAACAACCCCCTGAGCTTAAGCAAGTTATTTCGATATTACAGACAGCCACACTCAACTCAACACTAACATACATTGAAATAGGGACTAACACTGCATTGTGAATAGCCATACGTGCCTTTTTGGACACATTCTGACTTTCCACAATAGAGTGTAGAGCCCCATTCACTCTATTTCCTGCGTTCACTCGTCGTTCTATAACCTTATCATATCTACCATCCCTGTTAAATAGACATCCCAAATACACAAACTCATCCACTTGCTCGACCAATTCCCCTTCTATTCTTATTTCACATATCGTTTTACTTTCTTCTCTTTCAAGACTACTACTGACTAGTTGCGTTCACTTTTATTCCCCTTTATTTTAATGATCTGTTCATTAATGTAACCATCATTTGCAACTCGGCCACCGACGATGCTTGACGATTAACTCACTCATTCGTAACACGCAATCTTCAACTTTCAAAATTTCAAGTAATATTATATTTATTTTCTTTCAAATTGCCCCTTTTTCAATTTTGACATTAGAATAGTTTACCGTCCAACTAACGACCGAGTTTTCATTTATTGTTAGATAATAACTTGTATGATGTTAGATTATACATCAAGTAAAAACTTATTATAATATTTTTCATTTGTAAAAAATTTATACGTATTAAACCTACCGTTTAGCGGCTCCTTCGATATCCTTGTCAAGGCTTTCGAAGGCGTCTGTTTTGGACAGCGCCACGATGCCGCCCCAACATTGGTTCGAGAGCCACGAGTATGGTGAAACCTCCGGAGCCACCGCGTATTTCAGCAGGAAGTCTAACTCTTTCGGGTCCACTTTGCCATCCGCTTGTAAAATCTGCAAAAGCACTGAATTTCTTTAGCACTGATAGATTCTTTATTCCAAAGAAGATTGAAAGTTTTTTTCTAGTCACCATATATAATTTTATTTTCAATTTATTAGTATATTGATATTAGGAAAAAAAATTGTGTATAATATATATATATTTTTAATTTACTGTAAGTTTAAAATTTTAATAAATTTTTATGTTTAAAGAAATACATTTAAAAAATTATACAGTTGATATCAGACTACTCGAGAATGTATGAAATGGTCTGCGAAAGTGACGCATTGATATTAGTCTTTTTGAAAAAAAAACTGGCATTGTTGAGAAAAATATGAGAGGCACAAGCTTAAGAGCAAATTAAAAAGTCCGTAATCTCTGCCTATCCTTCTGGGTAACAGGCGTAAGTTTTTCTATAAATACATGCTATTTTATGTTATGCATAAGGTCAACGGTGGATTTTTAAATGCAACGAAGAAAATTACGAAAAAGTAGCCACGGTGAAACCTACCCATGGTGACAACAGTGTGTACGTCTAACTTCCTATCAGGGTGACTGTTAGCTAAATGCTAATTGAATGTTATAAGAAGATATGCGACCTGTAGTGTAATAAGGAATAAAAAGATGAGCTTGTCCTTCTCGAAGAGTCCGCGGCTGGTGTACACGAAGACCGCGAAGGTGATGCTGTCGAGCAGATTGCGCACACGCGCCTCCAGGTCGTCGGCAGCCGGCGCCCGCACCAGCGCCTCCTTGAACACCACGCTGTACGCCTTTAGCGAGAACTGATACATCGGGTTGATCTTGTACAACTCGTTCAGGATGAAGTACAGGATAGAGGCCCGCGTCGCCGCTCGCCTGTTATGTATTGTATTTTTTAAATATATTTTGATACACAAAAGACATAGACAAAGTATGAAAAAAATTATAATTCTACAGTGTTGAATCAGTCACAGTCCAAAATAATAGGTCGGGGAAAACGTTTCTTCGTATTTTGTTTGAAGAAAAATTTCTTCGATTGTACTGTTTGTATCTAGCTGGTTTTGATATCAATACATAAAGAACAGTAAGAAGTAGAAAACTAAAAAGTAAAAAAACACTTTCCCGTCCTTTTTCAATTGTTTTTCTGACCGCCAAAATGAGTGAATGTAACGAAGAAATTGGATACATTTTGAAGATTTATTACAAAAAAGGGAAAATGCGACTCAGGCCGCGAAAACTTTTGTGACGTTTATGGACCTGATGCAGTGTTAGTAAGAGTACCTAGCACAAAGTTGGTTCAAGCGTTTTCAGTCCGGAAATTTTGATACCAAAGATACAGCTCACTCTGGTCGTCCTCATACGGATAAAGTCGATGCCGTTTTTGAAAAAGTGGAGCAAGATCGGCATATTAGTAGTTAGAACATAGCCGAGGACTTGAGGATTGAACACAAAACCGTTTTGACCCCATTTGAAAAAGTCTGGCTATATAAAAAGCTCGATATTTAGGTATAACACGAGCTCACTGAAAGAAACCTAATGAATCGCGTACTCATTTGCGATTCTTTACTGAAACGTAATGAAACCGAACCATTTTTGGAAAGATTGATGACTGGTGAAGAAAAGTGGATAACCTTTATTATGAGCTTTTACCGCCGGGAAAAACCATTGTTAAAAAACGGCTGGAATTGATCAACAGGAAAGGATTTATATATTTCATCATGATGACGCCAGACCACACACATTTTGGCCACTCAGCAAAAATTGAGGAAGCTTGGTTGGAAAGTGTTAATGTATCTACCATATAGTCCTGAGCTTGCAACCTCAGATTTTCACCTGTTTCGATCTCTGCAGAATTGTTTGGGTAGTGTTAGGTTAACATCAAAAGATGACTGTCAAAACTACTTGTCACATTTTTTTATCGAAAATCCCAAGATTTCTACAGCAACGGGACCTATGAGATGGCAACAAGTTATCGAACAAAATGGCACATATATATTATAATGCAATGTAATAATATTTTGAAAAAAAATATGTCTTGAATTTGTATATAAAATACTAAGAGACGTTTTTCCCGACCTTGTGGTTATCAGTATTCATTCTGTGGTTATAAATTAAGTACATATCTCACCTGTATCTTTCTCTAGCTTCGTCAATCTTAACGGCCGTAACCTTTCCCTCCTCCACTTTTATTTCAATATCAGCGGCGGTCTTCTTCGTGGTCTCCAAATTGATTACCAGCGCTGAATCACTCAAGATATCGGGCCCGGCGGATGACAACCGTTTTAGCAAGTCATCTTCCAGCGATTTGAGCGTAATTTTAAAGTCATTCTGCTGCTTTGTGAGACCAGAACGTAAACTCTCCAAGTCTGGTCTTTCGGCTTTTACTACTTCGCCTAGCAACTGTTCTTCTAAGCTGTAAAGGTTTTTGACGTCAGATAAGTAAATCATTGTGAGAAAATAACGACCATATTATAACGACCCATTGTTGTCGCGCTATGCACAAATGAGAGAGCTAGACAACCGAGGGAGGCAACTGCAGCTTGGACTGATTATACTTTAGATATTTTAAAATTAAAAATTTTATACAACCGACTTCAATATAAGTTATTAAGAATAACTCAAAAACTATTGCTCTGACCTTGATCAAACTCATATGGGACCACACGAGAAGTATCAGCTTTCAAATAAAAAAAGAATCATCCAAATCGGCTCGCCAAGTAAAAAGTTATGAGGTAACACACATAAAAAAACATACAGTCGAATTGAGTACCGTCTCCTTTTTGGAGGTCGGCAGAAAATTTGACGAAAACATTCAGTATTCCCCTGTTTCCTCATTCAAACCCGGACTGGTTTTAATTTTTTAATAATTATAACTTTTAACAAAAAATAAAAACCGACTTGAAATTGCTAAAAATGAAGTTATTTATTTGCTACCCTTAGGGGTAGAATTTTTTCTCCAAATTTATATGAGATCACCCTTGAAATATACCTATTTAATAAAAAAGTATCATTAAAATCGGTTCACAATCTGCGAAGATAGATAGCTTAAACACTAGTCCAATATGAAACTTTTTCCTCTATTTTCCGCCCTTGGGGGCAAAATTTGTTCTTCAAAATTTAATGGGACCACCTTTGAGGAAAAGCCTATTTAATAAAAAAAAAGAATCATTAAGATTGGTGCACAATCTGCGAAGATATCGCGTAACATACATACAAAAAAAACATACACTCGAATTGAGAACCTCCTCCTTTCTGAAGTCGGTTAATAATCCGCAGAATATAGAATAGAATAGAATATTTTTTAGAATAGAATATTTTTTTTATTCAATATACATTACATGTGTAATTCTTATTGAAAGTCATTTTTTACTTTACCACTGGTTCGAAAAAAACCCTCTGTCCTGGGAAGAACCAGCAAGAAACCCAGCGGGACTTTTTTTTTTAAATAAATTTTACAATATAAATGATTACGAACTATTTACAAAATTTATTTTAGAAACTGCTTGGAAGCGATCACCTCATTCCCAGGGGTTATTATCAACCATGTATTCATTTATACTATAATAACCCTTTTTATACAGTTTCAGCTTAATAAAACATTTAAACTTGGTAATAGAGAGAACCTGTACACTTTCCGGGACCTTGTTGTAATAGCGTATACATTGCCCCAAGAATGAATTACTGACTCTGTGGAGTCGAGAAACTGGTATCACTAGATTGTGTTTGTTCCTAGTGTTTACAGAATGTATATCACTTCTTTTACTAAAACTATCTTTGTTTTTGTGAACATACATTAAATTTTCGTAAATATACTGAGAGGCCAAAGTTAATATATTAATTTCTTTAAATTTATCTCTAAGAGACTCTCTCGGTTTTAGATTGTAAATAGCTCTAATGGCCCTCTTCTGTAAAACAAAAATAGTTTCTGAATCAGCCGCATTTCCCCATAGCAAAATCCCATAAGACATTATGCTATGAAAATAACTAAAATAAACTAATCTAGCTGTCTCGACACTAGTGAGACCTCTAATCTTTTTTACAGCATAGGCTGCAGAACTTAGTCTGCTTGCTAATTTGGATATATGGGGGCCCCACTGGAGCTTTGCGTCAAGAGTGATGCCAAGAAAAACAGTGGATACAACAGGGCTCAATTCCTCCCCATTTAAAAACACATTGGTATTCAGATTTTGAACATTCGTTGTTGTAAATTTAACACAATTAGTTTTATTTCCGTTCAAATGCAGATTATTAACGTTAAACCAATGCACTAATTTTGATATAGCATTATTCACTTCGTCACATTTAAATGATTGACGTTTAAGTTTAAAAATCAAGGAAGTATCATCAGCAAATAATACTATATCATGACTATCCCCTACAAGGTGAGGTAAGTCATTAATATACACCAGAAACAGGAATGGGCCGAGAATCGAGCCCTGAGGTACACCCATTAGTACAGGTGACCCGGAAGAACTTTTACCATTGATAATAACCTTCTGTTTTCTATTACTTAAATATGAAATAATAAGTTTAAGCGCTGTGTTCTTGACACCATAGTACTGTAGCTTCCTGATTAATGTCTCATGGTGAACACAGTCGAAGGCCTTGGAAAGGTCACAAAATATACCCAAAGCATCCTCTGATTTCTCCCATGCACAAAAAATATGTTTAATAAGCTCAACTCCAGCGTCAGTTGTCGAGCGACCCCTTGTAAAACCGAATTGATTTTTATGTAGCAATTTATTAATATTAAAGAAACTTAACATCTGATCTAAAATAATTTTTTCAAAAATTTTACTTAATGTTGGTAGTACAGAAATTGGTCTAAAAGAAGAAAAGAGAAGAATACCCTACGCATGTACGCACGAAACACCATCCGGATATGCTCTTAATTAGTCATGTTTTGTACATATACGGTCTCTATAAATAAATCTCAGCAATCAATCTCAAATAATATATCTACAATGAATTTTTAAGAAATTTCTAAGGATTTTTTTAGGATGAAAAGATATAGAACAGAAAAGTAACTTCTCTATATTTAATACATCAACCCCTTTTTTTCCAGTCATCAACCGACTGCAAAAAGGAGGAGGTTCTCAATTCGTCGGAATCTTTTTTTATGGATGTTCACCGATTACTCGAAGACGCCTAAACCGATTTGGAAGATGATTTCTTTTGTTTTTTTTTTATAGGATAAGGATGACAAACAAGCACACAGTCCACCTGATGGTTAGTGGTTGCTGTGGCCTATAGACAATTACATTTATCCTCGATTACAAATCAAAATGCAGATGCGTTGTCACCCGTGAGGACTAAGATGGAATATCTCGTTTCCAGTAAAAAGGGTCTCCGGTTCTCTACACTCACCATACGAAACACATCAGCGTTAAGCTGCTATTTTACGCTGGTATTCTGTGAGAGCGTGGTCCTTCCCCGGTCGAGCCGACCCATCCGTGTTATAACTATACCAGAAATATAGCTGCGGCATGGCTCTACCACGTATAAAGGATATACTTCGCAGATCAATGTCGGACCACTAGTTTTCGAGTTATTTTTAATAATTTATATAGAAGTCGGTTGTACAAAATTTTTAATTTTACTACATTGTTTTAATTGTATTTTTAACGAATGATTTCATTATAATAAAAATGAAATATGGGTTTACGTTAAAAGCGCAATTCACTTAACATTTAACTTAACAATTATACACAATATCTGTACTTACCCATCTCTAGTGACCGTGAAGTTAATGAGAGTGCACTGCGCTTGCATCTCCGGCTGATAGTGGGGGTTGGCTAGTTTTGTTTGGAGAATAAGACGGAATTTGGGATCATAGTCGATTTCTCTGTCACCGATCTGAAACATACATCAAAATATTAAAGCCTTTATTAAAATGACTGTACTGACTGAACCAATGATCGATGAGGATGTTTCTTACTAGATATTTCATCATCACATTATGAATTTCAAGTAAGAATTGACTATGGCAAAATTTCTGAAGGATCCCAAAGCTACCCAAACGTAGCGATATATATATATATATATATATATATATATATATATATATATATATATATATACTAGCTGACCAGGCAGAAGTTGTTCTACCCTTTTCGACGACTTTTCATATAAAAAATCCTTAAATTCGTAATAAAAAAAAATAGATATATAAATCCTATCTCTCAAATTGGACCAAACTACACACAGTGTGCAAAATTTCATTGAAATCAGTTCAGTGGGTTAGGAGTTCATCGCGGACAAACAATGTGACACGTAATTTTTATATAATTAAAGACGAAAAGGAAGGTGCGTCAAAGCTGAAATTCCTCTGGAACTGCGATCGTTTATCCGTCTGCCAAGTGTGTCAATGTGTTTGGATCCTCTCTACTATAGGCGGGGCTAACGAGTATGAAGCAGATGGATATTTTTAGGCCATGCGTCCACGTTACCAGCGCTACACCGCAGCGGTACCAGCACGTACCTTGAGCACGCGTCCCTTGCGTATGAGCACGCGACCCAGCAGCGGCTCCAGCACGGCGTCCACGCTCTCGCCGATGTTCTCGAGCAGCACCACGTCGCCGCCGCTCACGGCGCGTTCGATGCGATCCAAATAGTTGCGCTGCGTCAGACGAATCACCACCAACGAGTCTCCATACCTCGACTTTATCCATTTTATGCCTTGTCTGTGGACAATGATGAAGATATAAATAATAAAATCGACAACCGATGGGGAAACAAGGTTCTCGAGTGGCAGCCACGTACCGGAAGGCGAAGTGTAGGGCGGCCCGCCACTAGGTGGAGTGACGACCTGGTAAGACATGCCGGAAGTCGAGGGATGCGGTTGGCTCAGGACCGTGCTAAGTGGCATTTTTTTAATATTATTCTAAGCCACCCCTAACTACAATCTTACCTAAAGGTAAGTGGTGATGTAGCCTAAGATGAATGAAGCGCACTGACTTATCAAAAGCCTATTTACTCTTGCCTTGAAGACAACCACACTGTAATCGGATGGTAAGAAAGATACTGGCAACTCATTCCACTCCTTTGCTGTACGCATGATGAACGATGTAGCAACAAACCGTTTGGTTCGAATACGAGGTAAGTAAACAACAAAAGGGTGGAGACTAGCCGAACGTCTATTTATCCGATGGTGGAAGGGAGAGGGAGGAATTAAAAAATACAAATCCTGCGCACACTCTTCGAAATGCAACCCGTAGAAAACTGAACTCAACTGAAAACTGTGTTGGAGGCTGTAAGATTGGTTTTAACCAAATTCAAGTCACCAATAAGCCTCTTAGCACGCCTTTCCATTCTGCTCCAAACCTGCTATATACTCCATATATACTCCATGCACGACCAAACTTGTGCTTTTATAAAGTAAGCAACTGTCCCGGTGTGAAGTATCGCCGCACCTTTGCAAGGACTCCTAGCTTCCTTGCAGTTGCTTTGGCCTTGGACTGAATGAACCGCCCGAAATTCAAATTTGAGAATATCTCAACCCCCAACAACTGAAGGCGGTGTATTCTAGTGATACATTTAGGAAAAAAGGAGCCAAGTGAGCTACCATACTACATACGATACTACCATAGTTTCTCTTTCGGACTGGATTTGATCCCGACTGGCTCGGACTGAGGACTTGATTGGTATGTCTTCACAACTGTGCTGTCGTCTGCATACCCATAGATACCGGGGATAAGCAGATCAGTAATATGCATTCTCTGGGGTAGGCATATGTTCAGCAGCAGTGGACTTGTGAAGGGTTGTAATGATGATGATGATAATTATTACAATCGCAGTAGAGGTAAGACTCGCAATAAAATTGTTAAAGCTGCATGCGCTCTTATACCTATACTTTTCTGTCCTATATATATCAACTTGCCCCAGACCCCTCCCTGGGCCATCGGCTAGAGACGCTCTTGATATGAAGGCCAGCGATGAATCCATCTATTGACCTCCCGGTTGAAGTTAGATTTACCAAGTCGGAATTTTTTTCCCGGATAAACAATTTCGTCTACGATTTCGTAATGCTCCCAACGACTCGAAGCATAGGTGTAATATAAAGGTTAGACATGAACTGTGTCTGTCTATGGTCATCTTAAGACCTATCCGTTGGGAGAGACTATTAAGGTCATTAAGCATAGTGCTGAGGTCCTTCAGCGATTCTGCCATAACGACTATATAGTCGGCAAATTTAAGGTGAGTGATGCACTCGCCATTGATGTTAATATCGTATCCTTTCCAGTAGAATTTCAGGGATATAGCGATATGTTTCATCATTACACGAGCACCTTAGCTTCTCGATATACTGACAGTCAACTTAGCACTGCTCAAGGGTCTGAAGCATCGCCCAAATTTCAACGGAAGTAGTCTATATATACAAGGCAAAGTGGGAGATGATACTTCTCGATATTTTGTTCAATTTTCCGGAGGATATGTATGAGGTCTATAGTAGAAAAGCCTTTTATTTTCTTTTGTATTCTGCGTGCAATATGATTCGTAATGTCTTTTGAAAATAGCACGTAGATGCGGCTTAGAATAAAAAGAGATCTGTAGTTCTTCAATAGAGTGTTGTCGCCTTTCTTTAAATAATAATTTAGGAGATATGTAAGTTTTAATATTAAATAACACCTTAATATTCGACTTGAACATCAGTTTAATTATTTTCAATATAATTTACGGAGCATATGTATTATAATATCATTTATATTTATTGCATGGTATTCCCTTACAAATATATGTTTTAAATTTCGATCTAATGTTTACAATATGATTCAATTGTAAAAACTGAATAAATTAATATCAAACGTTGATATTTATTATATAAAATACGTATTATCTAATAGGAACATAACACTTATCCCCAATCTACCAATGTAAAGTACCACATTAAAGCTGAAGTTATTGCACTCACAACTGCGGGTCGATCATGAGCGGCCAGCGCGCTGAATTGGTAAGTATGGTGGCGTTCTCAGTGCTCATGGTGTCCGTGGGCAGTCCTTCGTTGTTCCAGCTCGCCACTTGCGCATCGTCCGTAAGCATAGACAAAGGCTCTAAATCCGGCGTGGTTTCGATTTTTGGCTGTAAGTAACAAGCAGGCATGAGATTAAAATTTGTTATTCCGATTCTTTGTTTTCGCAGCCACGATCTAAATTTTTTGAAGATGATTTTTTTTTGTAGAATAAGGGCGACAAACGAGCACCCAGCTCACCCGATGGCAAGTGGAAGCTGAGGCCCATAGACATCCACTTCCTTTCCCGATCAGGAATCGAAATGCAAATGCGTTGTTACTTCCGAGGACCAAAATGGAATGCCTCGTTTCCAGTAAAAAGGGTCTTCGGTTCTCTACACTCACCATACGAAACACACAGCATGAAGCTACTATTTTATGCTAGTATTCTGTGAGAGCGACCTTTCCCGGTCGAGCCAACGCATTCGTGTTAAAACCATAATATAGCTGCAGCGTGACTCTACCACGCATTAAGTACCCTTTTTATTAATCTTATTTTAATCAACATGTTTTTTATCATTCCCAAACGACAACCGATGGAAAAGTTGAGCCACTCTGTGAATACTTTTTATACTTTAGTTTGCCACGCATTGCTTAGTATTAATATGAATAATAAGGTGTACCAGGTGTTTGATTATATATTATGACCTTACTTCTTTAAATTAATTTTGTGCTAGACAGCTTGTAGCTGTCCCCCGCGACTTCGCCCGCGTGGAGCTTACTACGATTTCATTGGTTTTAATTTGTTTGCACGGAACCCTCAATTTTTTTAAATAAAAGTATTCTTAGTTACTCCTTATAACATCAGCTATCTGCCAGTGAAAGTACCGTCAAAATCGGTCCAGCCGTTTCGGAGATTACCCGGAACAAACAGACAGACAGACAAAAATTTGAAAAAAATGTTTTTTTGTTATTAATTAAACAGACACTTCAATTTTATTTATTTGTTTAGATATTCGGAGGATCGCCATTGTATCTATTATCAAAAACTAAATCATATGAAGAAATGTTTGAGCAGCCAGGCATGTTACGAGTAGTATAATGTAAGATTATATTAGGTACATTGAGTTATATGTACTACGTACTAGAGAAGCCAATCCGAACATTGACTATGTTCAACTGAACTGTAGTGCAATCCATACAAACTAAATATTGCGTAAATTGAAGATTTGTGAATTCCATAAAATAATTATTATTACATTTTATTTAGAAATATGTTTGTTTAGATTAAATTAAGATATTTTATATTAAATCCTTATATTTATTTTATGTTAATATCTTATTTTATATCAAATTAAAGTCTTCGCTCATGCGCGACTACTACTCCCGCGCATGCGCGAAGACATAGAGTTGGACACAATTTTTGTTTGGAATGGCTTCTCTAGTACGTAGTACATATAACTCAATGATTAGATGTGATTACGTTAGACTTGGCGAGGGTGGGCATCCAGTCGTCGTTGAGCAGCTGCTGGCGGTAGCGGCGCGTGAAGCAGCCCACGTACGAGATGAACGCCGTCACCAGCAGCACGTCGCCCGGCAGCATCACGCCCGACTCTTTTAGTTTCACTACGGTCGCCGACCATCTGCGATACAAATACAAATAAAGAATTAATGCTCACTATCTACCGTCTAAATGTACTAATACTAATCTAACCATATGTATTTAGTAGGATGTCATAAAAATAGGACATTGAGTTACGGGGAACAAAGTTTTTCAGTAATAAAACCATCCTAATAACCAACTTAAAACTATTTTAAATAATAAAAAACTTCGTAAAACCAATTGATTACATTTGGAGTTTGATTTTCTTCATTCTATTCACCAATGTTAACAGTGGTAGAGCCACGCGGCAGCTTTTGCTGTCGCACGGATGAGCCGGCTCGAACCGGGGTGGTACCACGACCTCACAGAATACCAGCGTGAAGTAGAGGTTTGCCTCTGCGTTTCGCTTGGTGAGTGCAGGTGGCCGGAGCCCCTTTTTACTGGAAATGAGGCATTCCATCTTGGTCCTCACGGGTGACAACGCATCTGCATTTTGATTCGCAAACGAGGATAGATGTAGATGTCTATGGGCCGCAGCAACTACTTACCATCAGGTGGACTGTGTGCTCGTTTGTCACCCTTATCCTATAAAAAAAAGCAAAATGTTTTTATAATTTCTATTGATTTTTTATTCATTAAGTCTCACTAATTTTTAGGATTCCGTACCCAAAGAGTAACCTACGCGACCCTATTACTAAGCCTCCGCTGTCCGTCCGCCCGTCTGTCAGCGAGCTGTATCTCATGATCCGTAATAGGTAGGCAGTCGAAATTTTCACAGAATGTTTATTTCTGTTGCCGCTATAACAACAAATGATAAAAATAAAAATAAATTAATAATTAAAGGGGAGAGCCCTACTACTAAAAAAGCGTTTTACGATGGTACGGAACCCTTCATGCGTGAGTCTGACTCGCACTTGGCCGGCTTTTTAGATTTGTTAATTCTCACCGAATTTTTTCTGAAGCCAATCCATTCACCAAGCGGTTGGCTAAATCAATCGTTGCATTTGTCGCATCGGCTTCGGCTTGACACTTCATTTTCTCGTTAACGGCTTCTTGGAAAGCCTTTAGCAACACCTCGAGCTTTTCTTCTAATTCCTGAAAGAGTTTTAATCAAAACGTGCTAGTCTTTAAAATTCAAAAAAGGACAAAAAAAGATAAAACAATCCTTAGTAAAATTAAAATTATGCAAAATTGTTTAATGGGTCACGGGCTCATACGGGAAAAATATTTTTATGGTAAATGGTCTGTATGCTTTTTATAACAACACACTCCACATTCAACGTAACGAATTATTTGAGCCTTTTGCCTATCGAGTGGAGTCATTAAATGTAGGATGTAAATTATAGATATGTAGCTGTAACACCAAACTGTATCCCCCGATTTTGTTTTTATCGGTTTTTCAGAATTGCCTCCCATTATGGAAGCGAATTTAAGGAGGTAGGTATTCATGTCAAAAATTTTCAGGCGTACCTTGATCTTGTCGGTGAGGAAGGCGAGCTTGTCACGCGCGGCCTGCAGCTCGGCGTTGGCGGCGTTGAGCGCGCGCCGCTTCGGCTCCACCACCACGTACACGTCGTAGAACTTCATGATGTTGATCACCCACGCGCACAGCCCCGCCGCCGCCGCCGACTTCGACATGATGAACTCCGGGTTGAACTCCGGGTTCTTGATGTACGGCTGCACCGCCTGCGCATCGTGTATCGTTTCTCGTTATATAATATTTATTTAATTATTTTTTCATTACAATATTTCTCGAAAGTAATTTTCCATAACTGTCACGCTTGGCAAACTCAGTATTTTTTTATTTTGAGTAGTTATCAGTAAGATACCGATACTCATCTCCTGGCTCAGTTTGTTGCTGTCTCCTCTCATAGTCTTCACGGGATGATTTTGAGTACTGAAATGTAATGGCGGCGTAAGACACAACATAATACAAACACAGGGTATTACGTTGCTTAGTTGGTTTAACTGGCATGACTATACTATTTATTGTTTATTTATCTAATGCCTGCATATATAAAGTCCAGAATAGTATCCTCCTTTTATTGATTTTTATTTTTCTGCACGCCGATTCGCTAACTTCGTTGACAACAAAATCATAGTCACTTTGAAGTACATTTCATATTATATATAGCTTTGCTATATAAGTTACCACAGCTTACAACACATACGACGCAATGTAATACAAAATGAATATCGTCTTAATGTAAACGAAGTCAGCGAATAGGCCTGCTGGTCAAGTTACTAATAAGTAAAAGGAGATAGAAATAACAGATAGAATAACATATAACTTAGATAAATAATTAATTACTTATATTCCCAAAAACTTTACGGATATTTCTTTTTAAATTACGTACATACATAAAGCAGATATAAATATAAATTGATAAACAAAAATAATATACCTTCACAATATCTGGATGTATGTTCTCTTTGTCGTAATAGACCAGGTCATTTAGGAACTGATCAACTTTCGCCATCATGAGCTAGAAAAATTAAATTTAAATATTAGAAAATTGAACTGCGGAAGCAAATGTTTTACACTGTAGAAAAAATCATCAATATCTTCAATATCAACTATCACTGAGAACTGAGAGTGATAAATTGCTTTATTATTTTAGTATTAACTAAATAACTAAACGATGATGCGGTGCACACATTAATATGAAATCTATTCAATGTGTTAATGATAAGAACTTCACTAAAAAACTGTTTTGGTCAAAGACTTAAATTATTTATTATGTACCTTGCAAGCTTTCCACGACCTATCTTTTGGTAGCTTGCCCTTTTTGGAGAAGAGCACGAGCACCGCAGCGGTAACATTAACGACCGCATCCGGGGGCGAGCCGAAAGATTTCAGTTCCGTGAGGTTGTTCTTATTCAGAGTGTTCAGGGCTTCCTGGGCCGCTATCAAAGCTGGCTCCGCCTTGGCTAAGTCGTCAGCGCAGATTTTCGCTTTGATTGTCACATCTTCTTCTATAACTTTTACTTTCTTTTCCTCCTCGGCGGCTAGCGTAAGATGTAAATGAAATTTAGAAAATAATTCATAAAAATCATTAGATAGTAATCAATGAAACTAAAATACATGTATTAACATGCTTTCAAAATATATGCTTCTTTAGTTATCCCCAATGAACTCTGGATAGTGTTAAGAGAGCGTTGGGTATACCACAACATATTTTTACAATAAATAAGTTAGTTTGATTCATTAGACTGAGGTGAAAAACTATTTCGTATGAATTCAAAAAAACGAACTTAGACGAAGAAGGTCGAACAAATTACTATCTCATATAGGCTCAAGGAAATTACTGCTTTAGCCATAACTTTTGAGAGGCCTACAAGAATCTGTTCCTCTTATTCTGATATGGATATTTTTGGTATGGATTTTATTATGCAGAGAAATTACGAGTATACCAGTACAAGGTAGCTCTCTCCATATGTGTATGAAAAATCAAATTGACTGTTTTAAAGTACTACGTATCACGTCACGTAAATTAGCGAACACTACTGATGTTGATGAAATTTCCAAAACGGAATATATGAATATAATTTGGTAATATTTAGACAACAAAATGTAAAACGCTGATAAGTATTTGCTATGTACAGTTACATGTAAAAATTCTGAGATGTAATATGCTGCATGCTATTTAAGTTTACTCGAATAAAATATTTCAACACGAGTGGGTTAAAAACTAAAATATGTTCATACAATATTATAAACTGTACAAGTTGGTGTATTAAACACTTTATCTACAGTGCTCGGTATTACGAGTATATGCCATGTAATAAATAGGCTATGATGTGTACATTAAGATGGTTAGTATTACCGAATGCTTTTTCCTTTGATACTTTCTCACTCTCAGCCCCGACCACTTCGATAAGCTCTTCGGCGGCTTTATTTTTAACCTTCAATATTTGCTCCTGTTCTGCTAGTGTCACCTAATTAAATGTTTTTGTTAATATATGTATAATTATAATTAATGTATGCTATTATAAAATCTTATTTTATGTATTCTTGGCAGAGTTGCATAAAAATGTTTCGGTGAATCGTATTTGTAATACATCGCTATTGCTTTTCGAGTTCAAAAGATTCTGCCTATCAGTTTAATAAGTAATGGTTTGCCATTTGGTTAGGTATCATCATTTATAACTCTTATATCTATTTCTGCAGGCAATAGTGCATGTACTGTTGTATTTTGATTGAAAGGTTATGTTGAGTAATAAGGAAAAGTCAGTAGTAGTAATGACGAAGTATTCCATTTTTGTCCTCTGAGATAACATCGCCTCTGTAACCTCCTTTTTTAAACTTGGTTGCCAATGTCCTTGCGCAGCTAGGATCAGCGAAACATCAGCGAAAGCATTATTAGCCAAAGGTGTTTTCATCAATCAAGAACAAAAGTTAGAGGTTCCGAGGGGATTAGATACCGTCCTAGTTCTAACCGTAAATATGTCATCTAGCGATCCGCCGACGTTACTACGAAATATTAATGTGTCGATCTGATTATAAATAACGTGTTTGTAAATGACTATACCCAAACTTCCTTATACTGATACGCTTTGCATTGCATCCATATTGGTTGTTGTGTACTTCACTACTCACTACTTCGTTGTGTTTATTCATAAATATGTTTTATGTTCTCAATCATCGTTACAGTCCTTACATCAGATTTTAGTCGTACAGTCTACAACAGTGTGGTTTAGTGGTCAGTCAACCTAACAGACAAAGAGAGTGTGCCGTGTTCGAGTTCCAGCCAAAGTATTATTATAAAAGCCAAAGCCATTGTATTATCTGCCGACTTCCAAAAAGGAGACGGTACTCAATTAGAGTGTATGTTTTTTTTTCTTTTTTTATGTGTGTTACCTCATAATTTTGTACTGGGTGAACCGATTTCGATGATTCTTTTTTTATATGAAAGCTGATAGTTGCGTCCAAGCGTGTGGTTTGAATTTGATCAAAGTCAGACCAATAGTTTTTGAGTTATTTAAGAATAACTTATATTGAAGTCGGCTGTACAAAATTTTTAATTTTAAATTATGTGTTATACACAAATTATTTAATTTTTGTATTTAGTTAAATAAACCTTTTGCCTTTGTCTTTTAAAGCAACAAATAATCCCTACTCCGAACTATTGAAGGTATGTATGGATCAGTGATAAATATGTGAAAAACATTAATATCTAAATCCTGCGTATTTGATAACTTCCCATTGTGTATATTATGTACCTTCAGAACCGCAACATCGGCGGCGCAAGAGGCTAACTTGTCGAGTCCGTTCTCGAGCCTTGTGATCATCATGTTGAGCTCGTCGGTCTTGCTGTCGAGCAGCTTCCCGTACAGCGCGATCTGCTCGAGGAAGGTCTTGGGCGTTGTGTAGTTGTAGCGGCGCTCGTTCTGGTAGTACACCGTTGACATCTTGTTCACGCTCTCGTGTACGTGCGACATGAACACTGACACCGGCTCCACCAACTCTGACTGCACGGTGAATTGCATAATCGACTAATTATTTTTATATATTAAAGTAAAGATGCAATACTGGGATTTACTTTTCCTATTATTTATTTCCTTTAGAGTTTAAATAATGAAAGTTTTGAATTAAATGAAAGAAAAGGTAATAATGTAGTATCTAAAATATAGACGTCTCACTGCAGAGCATTCATCCCCCCTTATTTCTGAGAGAGAAATGTAATAGAGCAGAATTTAATTGTTCTTTTTCATAGGCCTAAGAAAATGAACAAGCATGTTAAACACACAACAATATTTTAAAGCTATAAATTTAATTTACTTGCATGACAGATACTCTATGTCCGTCCTTTGTAATATTTTTATTAAGGTGCAATAAAGTGTAAATAAATAAATAAATACTGAATATAAAAGTCAATATTAACAATTCGGCGTTGGTGACTGTTTCTAAGAGGGGTTTACATTTATCTCATAGTTTCATAGTATACCAACAATGATAAAATATAATTAACTACTAAAATATGAGTTACTATAAGCTAGCTCAAATTTATAACTACGGTAGTATCTGTTCGGAAAGAGACCGACGTAAGATTTGAGAGCGCAAGAATTACTAGTCGTTCCTAATATTAATTAAGCATTTCATATTCGTTAATACTCATTTTTTAATACGAAATGCATGTAGAAATAGTTAAAAGGTTAGTTAATACAATATTCCATTACGAAGGTACTCTTTCCGAACAGTGTTAAAAAGAGAATGCAAGTATACGCTACCGGCAAGGAGCGCACTTCTGCGATGAACCGCTTGGAGACGGAGCGCAGCGCGTCCTGCGGCCACTCGTGGAACCAGTTGATGGCGGTGCAGTTCACGATGGACGGGAACTTGCGCGCGCGCACGCGCAGCGTAGCGCCCACCGGCGAGAAGCACAGTACCACCTGCGCGCACGCACATGCGTGCACATAACATATGAAGATTTCTGTTTTTTTTTTTTATATATATAACATCGCCGTGTAGTGGCGTCATAAAATAATCCAGAACTCATTACCATTCCGAATGTGTCTTATGAAGCGATAGAGGGAAATAAAACAGAAGAAAAGAAGAAGGGCATGAGGATCTCCCTGTATAAAAGTTCACTGTTGAACATAAGTCTCCCCATAGCGGCCTCATAGGGGAGATTCCGCCATATTTGCTACGCTCGGCAGGCGGATTGGTAACCGTAGTTTGTTATTTATAATTTTGAGTTGTTATCGGATTGCTGCCCACCTCTTGTGTCAGTTTGCCTCTGTTGCGTCTTACGACACCCACGGGGCGATATGGGGTTGGGTATCCTAACACCACCACTGCACGGTTACTCATAATACTTTATCCGTAATAGTAATTCACTCTGCTGAATATTATGAGAATAATACTTATCATGGGGATAGTTGTTTTTCTTTTCTTTTTTTGGTAAAAAAGCATCTAAGATCAAAAATTAATTAACCTAAGGGTGCGTACAGATTAAGTAACATGTTGTGTAACTTTTGTTTTATAACACGTCCACATTATGTTACATTGTTTTTCAACATTGCAACATATAACAATACTGTACACATTAGAATAACAATGCATTATAACAATGTTAATGACTTGTCGATTGTCGATCTGCAGTGCTATTCACAATGTCGACACAAGAGGACGTTTTAAATAACAAAAGAAAAAAAAAACATAGATACTGGGTTCGTCCTAGTTTATTGACTAGAGAAAAATACTCTCTAGTTATATAACATTTGTGTCACGTTTTATAAAATGCAGTCTCCACATTACTGCAACATGTTATATAACAATGTTTTTCTCAAGTGTGCACAGTTTTCTACAATCACTTCCTTTATTGCTCAGAGCTTTGTAGTTGACTTTAAAAAAAATCAACAATGTTGGAATTCGAACTCTTTTCTATGAACTTTCAGACGTAAGTCTGAACTACTTTGGCCAATTTTTACATTTTTCGTATAATTTCATTTAGGCATCGTTGTTAACGCCATCTCAGATATTTTAGACTTCTGGCAATAAAGCGAACTTGCTGTAATAGCAGCGCTTAGTATATTTAGATATCTTAGTATCGGCACACTTAGTAGCCGATCTTTGTATCTTAAGTATCTATATCGTTTGTAAAAGGGTCATACCGCCATCTGTTGGCAATTACTACTTTCCTATCTTTGCAATGCATCGATTCTTTTTTTCTGCCAAAAGGAAACAGCCACCTAGTGTAGTAACCAATCATGAAATAATTAAAAAAAGGTACCTTTAACATAGTTCGGACGCGATTTATGAAGAACTTCCAACAGTTCTCACGTGTGTCTTGAACACCGGTAGCCTTTGTCTGTTTGACGTGAATCAGAAAACAACATTCATTATAAAAATTATGACAACGTTATTAAAAATCATAATATACAAATTTATGAAACACTAAGACGATGAAAATTATTGACTGGCACAAGATCGTTATATTTTTAGCACAATAATATTATTTTATCAAATTGGCATTATTGTCACACTCACTGGTAGGACTCCCTTTTTGCCTAGAAATCCGCCTCGGTGGGTACTATAGCGTCACTGTACCTTATAGTTACATAATGTGGTTGTAGTAACATTGTATTGTAAGTATTGTAGTAAGGGCAATTGTGTAATGTAGCGTAATATAGAAGTAGGGCTCAAACGGGTTAGAATAGACGCGCGTAGTCGGACGCCATAGAATTATCTCATTACTCTAAGTCGGACGCCATAATATTACAATACCTATATCTTTTATTTTATAACTCACCACATCCATATCATACAACCCCTGAACATTCACAATATGAAAATAAAGAAAAGAGTATAGTAAGAAAATTTTTTAATCAAAAAAATAATTTTGAATTTCCATAATATTTTTAAAACATTCCTTGCATTATGTATTTTAAACAAAACTTATCTGGTTATAATCTTAATACTTAATTACATAATTTTTAATGTTTAAGCAATCAAGCTCAAATCATCATCAAATCAAATCATCATTAATAAGTAACATTCAGCTCACCTCTCCGCGCACTCCATTTATAACGTTCTCCATTTCGTCATCAGCAAGGAGCTCGGGAATTTCGCCGGATGCGAGTAAGTCGTTGATAAGTACGAGGAAACGTTCATCGGCCACTTGCGCGTCGGTCATAAGGAACACGTTGCCTATGTTTTTGAGACCTGCCTTTATGTAAAGGCCGGCTGAAAAAGTTCAAAAAAGATATTTTTATCGGGAATGTATACATATTTTATGTTTATTTCTATTGTAAGCACCGTTTGTTGGACGATGTAAGCACTATTTTTAAAGCAACCACTATTGGACATTTGCCTTCTCTCATTCTGAGAAGGTTTTTAGGGCAGCAAAGTTTCAATGCACATAGGGAGCTTTATATGTCCTCGAAATATTTTGTCAGATATGCACGTTTCCTCGTGAAGATTTTTGTGACCGCCGAGCACATTAAAACGTCCATTAAATTACGTTTCACATTATAGTAGTGCCGGCGGGATTTGAACTCTGCTTTCTATTTGTTATAACTAGCTGTTCCCGCGACTTCGCCCGCGTGTAATTTGACGTTTTAATTTTTTTGCGCGGAGCCCTAATTATTTTTCTAAAATAAAAGTAGCCTAAGTTACTACTTATAATATCAGCTATGTGCCAGTGAAAACCCCATCAAAATTTGTCCAGTCATTTCGGAGATTAGCCGGAACAAACAGACAGATAGACAGACAAAAATTTTAAAAACAGTGTTTTTGTTAAGTACCGTATGTACTTTCATATGCATTTAGTAAGAATCTATAACTTTGACATCACAAACAGACACTTCAATTTTATTTATTTATATAGATAGATATGAAATTTAGAGACGAGGGATTATCCTCTAAGCATCCACTGTTATATTGTAGCAGCAATTTGTTGACTTTGAAGGACACTTGATGTCGTTAAAGGATACTACGATATCCGTGGGACGGATATCAATTCCTTAGCACATAAAAAATATCAAATCCTAAAAATCAAACCTTAATATGTATTTTATAGTACATTAAGTATTAAATACTTTAATATTCTCACCCAAATCTACTTTGAGATCGTTAATACTGTAGCCCTTGCGCAGTTGAATCTGGAACACTTCAAGCGCAGAGATGAAGGCAGCCAATCTAGATAACGACTGCTTTCCAGAGCCGCCCACACCGATTAGCAAGGCGTTTCCACGCGGCGACTCGAGGATACGGTTAATACTGAGGAGAAATTTACGCATTATAATATTCTTTAAATATAAAGTGACAGACATATTAAGCTGTGTCAAGATTTAGAATGTATAAGTATTTTATTTCATTTTGAAAACGTTTTTGAATTATATCATTGAAATATAAAATACTGATTTTATCATCTTTAAAAAGTCAATAATTTCACTTCTTTTAGAAGTTTTTTTTTAATAGGAGAGGGGGCAAACGAGTATGCGTTTCACCTGGTGGTAAGTGACTACCGCCGTCCATGAACAACTACAACACCAGGGGAACCAGGCGAATTGCAGATGCGTTGCCGGCCTTTTAAGAAGTTCCGCAGTTTTGATTGGGACCGGATATTTTGCATACGCTTTTTTGAAATGTTCTACATATGCTGAAAACACTCTAGCATACTTCACTATTTAGACATGTAACCTTGAATAATTTAATTTATAAAACGACAAATAAAATAAAAAGAAAAGATTTTATGCATTTTTTAATAAAACAATAACTGATGTATTTTTCATTTATTTTCGTATTTTTTTATGTTTGGGCGAGGCGATAGCATTGATCATACTTTGTTAGCTATAAAAAATACCTAAATTTAAATTATAAAAAAAAATCCTTTAAACAAGTATTATGTAGAAATATAATCTAAATTGAATAAAGATTATTCTATTCTATTGTATTTCCAAAGAAAGGAACGCCAGCTGACAGTTTCTTGCAAAGCACTATACCTTACCGTGATCTTGTCAAATGGTGACGATGACATGATATG